TTTTATCAAATATAAATTTGATATCAATTTTAGTAAATTTATTGAAAAGTTTTGTTATTATTTTATAATCTTTATTAAATCGTTTATAAAAATTACAAAAATTAAAAAAGGATTGGATTTTTTTTATAATTATTAAAAAAATTAATTTTTAATTATTTTAAATTTCTTAAAATTTCTTTTTATATTTTTAATAAAAATGATAAAGTTTAGATATTTGATTTATATAATATTGAATTTGTAGTTTTTGAAATTTGTTTATAATTTAATAGTTTCTAATTATTAGAAAATTAATTTAATATAAATTTAATATTCTTTTTTATTTATAAAATAGATTAAAATATCATTAAGATATATTATATAAAAAATATCTAGATAATCACAAAGAATATTGTTTATATAATACTAATAGATTACAGATTTATTTGTTAATCCAAAAGATATAATTTTATATTTATATAATCTATAATAGATTTGAAAAATAATATATTTTTCTAAAATAGAATCTATTTATATATAATAAAAAGTTTGATAAATATTAAATTTGATATAAATCTTTATATTAGAAAATCAAATTAATATTTTATTGATTAAAAATAAAAAAATATTGTTCTTTATATATTATTGAATTTAATAATTTGAAATCTATATAGAATCTTAAATTCCTATTAAACTTTTTGATAAATGAAATGAATATAATAAAGGGAATTTAGTTAGATTTAATAAAATCTTTGTTAAAATTATTTATAATATATTTCTTAACGATTTCTAATTATTCAAAAGATATTTTATAAAATAAATTATATTATAATATTTCTTCCTTTTTATTTTTTAATATGATTTGTGATTATAAAATGAAAAAAAAAAGAATACTTCATTTTTATTTAGAGAATATTCGATAATATTTTTGATATTCAAAAAAGATATTGAATTTCGAATTAGTCTTTGTTAATATTTAATCGAATTATTCTCGATTTTAAAAATTTTTAAATCTAAAATTGAAGAATTACAACTTATAAAAAGCATTTATATATACATAAAATACCTATATAATAATTGTATAATTATATATATTTGATTTTAGGATAATTATAATCCTATATTAAAAAGGGTAAATCGGATCCCAAATATATAGATTATTAGCTTACTGATAAAAATTGGAATCATATAATCGTTTTTATATAAAATCTGTAATACTATTTCCCTCTTTAAAAAAGCTCGCCCTCAAATTTTTATTCCTTTATTTCATCAATAACTATCGGAAACCAAAATCTAATAGGTTTATAAGTTTTAAATCGATTAGATTAGTTGTTTTTGATTGATTTGATCAATTATATTAGTAAGTAATTGAATTGACCAAATTGATCAAATCAATCAAATTAATCTAATTGATCAAATTGATTAAATCGATTTTAGGAAATCTTTTGAAAGGAAAGAGTTTCATTAATAAAAGAGTAGAATTAAATCTTTTCTTTTGTATTAATTTGAAATGATATTCAATATAATTTTTGAAGATATAATTTTTGTATTATTGTATAAGTGTAATTTATTTGTTTTTAAAGTTTAGATTTTTGTATATATATAATCAAATTCTTTTGAATTTGTATAGATTTTAAATACTTTTATAATTGTATATCTATATTTTTTATAAATTATAATATTTAATTTATTGAATTAAAGAATAACTTTTTTTTTCGATTTTATATAGAAATTGTCATTATATAATTATAATTATCTTTTTTGTTTTTGTAAAGTTTTATTTAATTAAGTAATCAATTAAAAGGATCAGACTGTATTAGATTGGTTAGATAGAAATCGTATAATAAATATAATAATGTTTTAAAATCAAAGATAAGATATTAAATAAGATTAATATTGTTATTAAATTATAAAACTTTATATAATAAAATTTTTCGTGATTTTTTTATTATTAAAATCTTCTTCATTTTCTATATTGAATTATTAATGATATTAATAAATAACAATAATTCGAATACTTATACAACCTCCCTTTCGAGGTTGATCATATGATATACCCATAAATGATTTCAAAGTTGAATGATTTCAATTGAGTTGAATTGAAAAAAGCTCAAAGTCAGATTTGCCTGAGGTTGTAAGGCTTATGCCAAGCTTTTTGTTAGATTATTTACCGGGGTATTTATCGGGGTATTTACTGGTATATTTTAGACCAATCAGATTGTCAGGATCGCGACTCATTTAAACGAGTTTCTCATTTTCCATCATCCATCAAGTAAACCTCGTGTATAGCAAGGTTATAGAGTCAGCAAGCCGACAATTAAAAACTTCAATTATATATATTGTTTTTTTTTTTTTTTCGATTAATAATAACGTTATTCAATTTTATATCTTTTATATTTTCTTTGAAAGTTGATTAAATTAATTGAAAAGATTAAAGAGACTCTTTAAAATAGATTTGTAAAAGTTATTTAGATTATATAAAGAAAAAAGTTCGATATATAATGAAGATATCGATATACTTTTAAAAAAAGATTTATCTTTATTAATTATATAAAAATAGATCTTTTTCTTTTAAATAGAATATTCAAAAAGATTCATTTAAGAAGGTATTATTAAATTGAAATATTATTTAGAAAACGATTAAAAAATAAAATTGTATAAATTGTAAATAATATAATATATAAAAGCTTTATATTAAAGTTACATATAGCAAAGAATCAATTAGTCTTAAAACAGTTTTAAAGCTTTTCATTATTCTTTTTAAACTAGATAAATCATTCTTTTTATAAACAAAAAACAAAAGTAATTTCAGATCAAATACGATCCAATGTATAAATATTAATAAGAGGTTTATATAATATTCCCTTAGACTAATAGCTCGGTGTTTCGTCAACAGAACACTGAGAGTATATAAATAGAGTTATAATCTATAAGATATATAGACTTTCAAGTTGTAATCTGATAGTGTCTGTGACACTTTATAAAAATTAAATAAATAGAATCAATTATATTTTTTAAAATCTATAATTAAAGAATTATAATTTATAAAAAACATATATATATATAAAATATTTATATAATAATTATATAATTGTATATATTTTATTTTATTTTAGAATGATTATAATTCTATATTAAAAAAGATAAATCTAATTAGATATATATAAACTATCAATTCATCAATAGAAAAAGGAATTATGTAATTGTTTTTATTCAAGATCTATAATAGATATAAGTCTTTAATATACTCTTTCATAATAATTGAAATTATATCAATTATAAAAATAATTTTATTATTATTATTAATAATAAAAAAATTTAAAAAGTTTATATTAATAGTATTATGTTTTTATTAATAATATTTAAAATAATAATAATATTATTTTAATTTTATCTTTATATTAAATCATATTATTACTATTATTATTATTCTGATTTTGTTAAGGCCTTTAAACTGTTGTCCCGCTATTATCCCGATTAGCGTATATTACCCAAATCAGCTAAACACTTTATCGTTGTCTTTATAAATAATTTGTAGATGCCTTACAGTTTTCCGGGAGCCCTTTACAAATTAAGGTGCAATGCGAGGTCGATCCATTTCTAGAAATGAATTTGATGATTGACCTTGAGTTTACTTGACTGGCTTCCATGATTGATCAAGTTCCACCGAATAATGCCTCAATTGGGTTGCAAAATTAATTCCCTTTTGTGCGTATTCTGGGCTAAAAACTATGGAGTATTCATACAACCCGAGGCTTTGACATTAAATAATCAGCACAACCGTACCTCCGTGGAGTTCAAGGCGTGAAAGAGGTGAAATGAATCTCTTAGTTTTCTCCTTTCAGGAGCTCTGAATTCGAAATGGCTATACAATTCGGTGGGAAGAATCCTTTCGAGACATAGACTAGGTAGCTATAGGTTCCGGGCATAATGTTGAATTTTATGCCGCTTTTTCTTTTCCGTGTCTCCCTTGATTGATATGGCAATAGTTTTGTTTCCAGAGTTCTCTTTTGTATTTATATAGTATATATTCATGTCGTATGTGAACACATGTCTTCATCTCTATGATCACTGTTTGACGTTCGCTTCGGCAATCAATAATACTAGATTCTGCATCTTGCGAGACTTGTCTATTCCATAAGATAAAAAAGCACTCATCGTGCAAGAGACAGGTTGTGGCGGTCATAATATTCCCATGTGACCAGTGCAATTATGTTACTTGACAGATGAAATCAACCTTTTTCATAGAAGATAAATGAATGAATGAATCAGAGTCGACTTACTCCGTATTCCGTATTGAATTTGTTCAGATCATTATCCTGAACTTGGAGATTTGGATTGGAGGTTCCCGGAAACCTTATTTTTGCGGTCGGTTTATTCACCGTTGTCTACACAGGTGCTTAGAATATCTCTGATTCTGAGTTGTCGATTCGGTCATGGCATCCTGTACCATGGATCGCTGTAATAACAAATTATTTAGTTGACGTGTGTCAGCATCTCTTTCTACTTGATTTATCAGTACTGACTCCCTCGCAGAACATTCAGTCACATCAATGATAGAGCATATACTCCCGCTGCTAAGATGTGGATGATATGTAGATGAATACTGAGAAGAAATCCAGAAATTGTTGCACATGCCTAACATGACAGCTCTTGGAACGAAATCCAGCCATAATGTGGCTGGAAGAACAATACGATCTTGTTTAAATTACAATATCGTTGCTCTCAGAATATATTGATGAAGAAGCATTTAATTTTATTATCAAGTACTCAATATTCCATTCAGCATTGTACATTTAGTGATTGACACCATGCTATGCCACTCACTGTGCTACCATCAAAAGTGATGAGGGCAGGAATCTGAATGAACTACTGCCGGCAAAAAGCCATGTGATTCATTAAATCATCATACCAATGGAGAGCCCCGAAACTTATTTCTTTTATCCGATAGTTAGATCACCTCAGGAGTCGAGGTTTTAGGATAAAACGACGACCACATTGAATTATTCCCAAATAGGATGGTTAAATACCCTTCAACATGGAACAAAACGGCTCCAATAACACAAAAACAACGTAGCATGATTGATATCTACTAAGGATATGTAGAAGCCATACCGGCAAAGCAGTAATCTACCGAAGAGAGGATTGAAACCTCGACGATGCGCTTGCTAGAGGGAAAGAAGGTGCCTTTGCACTACACTACAATCGGTCCAAAAAAGTTAAATCTTCCCAATGGATCATATTCCCTTTTCAATTTTCTCAATCTGTCTAAGCGCCACGGTTCATACCCATAAAGAGCCTCCTGACTTTCATCACCGGTCGCATAATTCACATATGCATGCAGCTTTTCTCCCGTACCATTCAACATCACATTTCTTATCTGCTTCCCAAGTTTGATCATATCACGCTGTAAGGTTTCATCATTAGGTGGATAAGTAAAGAGAGGCGCGGCAAGCAGTTGTTTGGAGCGTAATGCGTATGCCGTGCTGTCTGAGGGAATCTCAAGAGCACGATTTGTGGCAAATCCTTCAAGGAACATCAAGGAATTGTTAAATGAGGCGGGAAAAGTGGAGAATATGTCTAAGACCGCACGTAGGCTGGCGACATTCCAGGAATCTAAAACGGTGGGAAATAGTTGCCGTCCAATTTCGTCTACACACGCTGGACCCGAGGGAGATGCTCCCGTCAATGCGTTGATATTCAGAAGACTGATGTGTGACTGGTTGACGCTAACTGGATTAAGTGCATTAAGTGGAGCCGTATACTCGTCTGGAATGTTGTCAGCTCCTTGCCAGCGTAATTGAAATTGTACTATGGGCTTTGAATCAACGGTCGGATCCAAAGCTATAAGTCCCATGTACATGAGTTCGACTGGACGATATTTTGCAGCGAGCCACTGGTTAGCGATGCTGAAGACCTCTTCTAGTTTATCCTGCGTGAATGTGAACGTCGCAGTTGCAAAACTATCAACTTCAGGGGTTCGATCGTAGATCTGGTAATATATCGATGTGACGATCCCAAAATTATGCCCTGCGCCCCTAAGACCCCAGAAGAGATCCGAATGCTGGGTATTGTCAACCGTGACAGCTGTTCCATTCGCCAGAACAACTCGCGCCGATATGAGATTGTCAGCCATGAGTCCGTATCGGCCTTCCAGCCATCCATGACCACCACCCAGCATTGGAGATATGAAACCGACGCAATCGCACGCGCCAGTTGCTGTGTGTTTCCCAAGGTCCCAAAGCTCGGAGATCACCTCGCCTGATAGAGTTCCGCCGAGGATAAGGGCCTGAGATTCATTGGCGGGGGAGATAGAAACACCCGAAAGGCTGCGGAGATAAATACCGATGCCAGATTCGATCTCCGAAAGCGTGCTGGAGGCAGCATGGCCGCCTGAAATGGCTAGGAACGGCACAGAGTGTGAATTTGCATAGCGAATCTAGATGGGGGAAGTGAATAATTAATAACTAATGATTTACCTGGCCATCAATACATGCATGAATCGAGTGAGCAGATAATAGACCCATCGAAATGGAAATGGACATACAGTCTCCTGTACATCTTCCTCACATGCAACCTTCACAACAACATCAAGGCCTGGTTTAGTATAGGCATTCCATCTCGTGGTAGCATTTATATACCCTTCCGAACCAGGATAGTAGATTTCCGCAGACGATGAGAGCAATGGTTGGAGGTCATATGTAAAGTTCGTAGCTATGGATGTTGTAATGTTGCTGGTAAAGGTAACGGAAAGGATATTTTTTAAAAAGGTTGAAATGTCCATTATATTGTGTGAAATCGAATTGCACCAGCAATAAACAATTTCAAAGTGTGTTTATAGGATTTTAAATACTCTGACAAATGCATACTGACGATCCATACTTATAAGGATTGGGATACAATATTCAGCTGTGCCATCCAAATTGAGTTAACATCATCAGATCAATCTCTAGAAATAGTCCGCTAGTGGCTGCACGACTCGTGTACCTACCTAGGCGGCCAATTTTTGCGTGAACAAAAATTGCATCAATTGAATAGTGTGTACATAATAAACAAATACAATCATTACAAGATATCTTTTATATTTATTATAAAAATCAGAATTTGAAATAACTGTGGGTAGCCTCATTACACTTATATTCGAAGGCGTTCAAATTATTATCGGTTTGCTGATATCAAAACCTTACTGTATATAAGGTTTACCTAGTGTAGGTGATAGAAAATGAGAAATTCGTTTAAATGAATCGCAGTCCTGATAATCTGATTGATTTAAAATACTTTAGTAAATAATCTAACAAAAAGTTTGAGATAAATCTTATAATCTTAAATAAATCTGATTTAGAACTTTTTTCAACTTTATTAAAATTATTCAACTTTATTGAAATCATTCAACTTTGAAATCATTTAATTCATCTTATTCAACTCAAAATAATAATAATAATAATAATAATAATTAATATTATAAATAGTATAAAATATTATAATGTTACAAGATAATAATCAATCTGTTCATAGACGATTTGTAAGAATTCTGGAATCTACTCACCGCACACCATTTAAATTCGTGACAAAATCCCTACAAAACTCATATTTTCCTATATAAAATAAAATAAAATATCAAATAACTTTTTCAATATTGAATTGAATCAAATGAAATTTTTAAATATTATAATTAACTACAAAAGGATATTGAAAAAATTTACAATTTATTTTTTATTATTTTTGTTTTAAAGTTATATCTATTTAAATTTAAAAAATGTTAAAATTCCATTTGTGTAACGCTTTTTTGAACTTTTCCCCATATAAAATAAGCGATTTTTTTAAACTTTTTTGTTTTTTCAATCTTAAATATATAAAACTTTGAAACAAAAATAATAAAAAATATTTTGTTAAATTTTTATTATATTTGAATGAATTATTTATATATATATCAATTTTTATATATTTATTTTATTATGTTATAAAGATAACAAGGGTTTAAAAAGTTGAAAAAATCGTTGATTTTGGTGTGATTTCGCTTAGTGTGCGGTGAGTAGATTCCAGAACTCTTATATAAATTTGTATGATAATTGATTCTTATGATCTCTTTAATTTCAGCAGATCCTAATCATGTAATTATAAAGATCTAAGGGAGTTAAGAAATCATACTCTAGATCTGTTAGATCTATTAAATTCAAGTGATCCTATCGATACAAAGATCTATATAATTAAAAAAGAATTTCTTTTATAAAACTTTATATTTAAAATTAATCATTTAATATATTCTATTATTAATTCTAAATCACAATTATTGATATTATTTTAAGTTTTTGTTTATTATTTAATTATAAATTATTCGAAGATCTAAATTACTTTTATATGATTCAGATTGTATTCTTTGTAATACTTTGAATATTATTATTGTTTTAAATATCAATTTGATAAAGTAATATTTATTATATCTTTTTAGATTTTCCAATTTAGCAATTTAACTTCAATTATTTTAGAAGATATAAATCAAAATAGAAATGTTATTATAAAAAGAACAAAAAATCTTGAAGAAATTGTTGTTATTGAAATTCTCAAAATCATTTTATCTAATAAGTTTATAAACAATTGATAAAAATTAGAAATCGTTCTATTTCAATTTGAGATTTATTTTGAATTTAATAAAAATAAATTCAATTATAATATCGATAAAAGTATTTGAGTTGTATTTATTTTAAAAAGAAAGTTTTTAAATGAATTCAATTTTATTTTAAAGATTACTTTATTCATTTAAATATATTTAATTTAGATTATCTTTAAGATATTTATTGAATTTAAAAAAGAAATATAATAGATATTCAGAAATATTAACGACTTATATAATATTAAATCTAAGATTTATAATCTTAAATAAATAAGATCAGTAATTAAATATATTATAGAATTCAAATAGTATATAGATATTATTGAATAGAAAAAGAATATTACAATAAGTTATTATAGGAAAAGATTCAAAATGAAGATTAGATTAGAATTGAATTGTAATTGTATTTGAAAAGATCTGAACAAATTAATTGAGAAATCAGTCAAAATAAATAAAATACTTTACAAATATCAAAAAGAATATCAATTCTTTATTTCTTAAAGTAATCGAGATTATAATAAATATTATAAAAACAAAAAAAGATTTTGAAATCATCGATAATTATATAAAGATCTAATATAATTGAATATAATCTTCAAAAAACAAAATTATCTAAAAAGAAAATAAATCGAAAACAAAGGAATAAGTTTTGCTTTGGATATAACAAATTTAATTATCAATTTAGAGATTATCAAAACAAGAAATCATAAGAATAAGAAAGTTATTACAAAAAAATTAAATTCGAAAAAAATCAATTCACTATTATCTTTGTATTTTAATTATATATTTCAAATCTAATTGAAAACGATAATTATAAACAAAAATAATATTAAAAGAAAATTAATATAATATTATAAGATTAGAAAGAATTGAGTATTATAAATTGATATAAATTGAAATATCTTCAAACTCTATTATCTTTTTTGATCAAGAAAAATCCAAAAGAAATACTATCAATAGAATATACAATGATAAATTGAATAATCTATTATAATGATTTTTGTAACATTTATTTATCAAATAAGAAAACTATAGAATAATTCCTTTATAAAAAGAAAATAAGAAAATTTTCATTATGTGATTGTCAAAATAGTTAATTATACAAAATTGACTAAATTGATCAAATTGATCAAAACAAGATTATAGGTCGAAGACAATTAAATATTGTAGATCAAATAGAATAGATTTATTATAATATCAAAATAAATAAACAAAAAATCTAAGTTATAATCGATTCAAAAATTATTAGAAACTTTATTATATCTAAAATTGTAAAGTATCTGGAAATATAATTTCAAATGAAACAGATCTTGTATTAATTATAATTAATTGATGAATAATTAATAGAATTAGATAATAAGATTTCGCAAAAGATTTGTTCAATACAAATAAGTATAATCCAATATGGAAAGGTTATCCAATTCGATATTTTTTTATTAAGAAATCAATGGATTATTTTGAGAATATTATAATTAAAGATATACAATCCCAAATCAATTAAACTATTGAAATTATAAACTTCCTAAACAAAGACGATCATCAAGCTATACTAAAGTTTACAAAGTTGAATATATATAATAAGGAATTATAAATAAACAATACTATCGATATAAGATATTCAATTCAAAGTTTTTTATTAATAATAAAGGAAAATAAATATTTTATATAAATAAAAAATAAAGAAAAGAAATTGTTTAATATCATTTTTATACAAAAACAAAAAGAAATATCAATACTGATATAGTATCAAAAATCCCAAAAATTATTCAAAGAAAAAAAAAATTTATAAGATTTTATTAAAATATAAATTATAGAATTATAAAATAATATTGAAGAAAAACAAAATATTTTTATTCGAATCAATCTATTAAATATCGAAATCAGAATTAAAAATATTGAAGGAAAACATTAATAATATATTAAAAAAGAATTAGATCGGGAAATCAATCTTATAAATAATAAATCTTGTATTATATATATTCAAAAAAGATAATACTAAAAGATTATATATAGATTATTACAAATTTAATAATATAATAATCAAGAATCGATATTCATTTTTATTAATTACAAAATTAAAAGATCGATTAAGAAAAACAAGGATTTTCAATTTTCTTTAAATTTGATTTACCGAGTAGATTTCATCTAATTAGAATAAAAAAAAATAAAGAATAGAAAATAATGTTTAGAACTTGATATAGATTATACAAATATCAAATTATATTATTCGGATTAATTAATATACTAACAATATATACATAACTAATCGATAATATATTAAAGAAATATTTAAATATTTGTTATATATACTATTTGAACAATATCCTAATATTCTTTGAAATAAAGGAACAATATATACTAAAATACTTAAAGAAGATAAACTTTCAATACCAATTTAACAAATACGAATTCTACATTACAAAGACAGAATTCTTAAATTATATAATCTTTTTAGAAAACCTTAAGATAAACCTTAATAAGCTAAGAACAATTCAAAATTAAGAATCATCGAATAATATAAAAAAAATACAATCCTATTTAAAGTTCATTAATTTCTATTAATAATTTATTAAAGATTATTCTAAAATGATTATTTTAATATTAGAAATTATTAAAAAGAATTAAAAAGAATTCCAATGAATTTTACAAATACAAAAAACATTCAAGAATTTTAAAAAGATCTTTATCAAAGAATTTGTTCTTTTAACTTTCGATTCAGAACTATCAATAATTGTAAAAACAAACATTTCAGATCATACAATAGAAATTATACTGAACCAATCAGATTTAAATAAGAAATAACAACCAATCACTTATTATTCATATAAATTATTGCTAATCGAATTAAATTACAAAATATATAATAAAGAACTACTAATGATAATAAATACTTTTAAAAAATAAAGAATATATTTGAAAGAATCAAAATATATTATACAAATATATACAAATCATAAGAATTTAATTTATTTTATTATAATGAAGAAATTGAATCGATAACAAATTAGATAATCGGAAATTATAATAATTTACAATTTCAAAATTTTATATATCAAAAGAAATGAAAATGCTAAAATAGATACTTTTAATCAAAAATCAGAATATTTACAAAATAAAACTTATAAGATATATAAAATATTAAAATAAAAAAACAATATATTAACATATAATAAACCTCAATTAATTGTTATTTTCAAATTATTAGATAATATAATCAAATTGTAATTATTAATTCATTACAAAAATAATATTATTATATAACAAATCTTAAAAAAACTAAAATCAGAATTTATAATCAAGAAAAAGATAATTTATTTTTATAACAAAATTTATATCTTTATTAAAATAATAAAAGATTTTATTGAAGAATAATACAAATTATTAGTATGTAAATATCAAAGGATAATTAAAACATTTGTAAAATTATAATAGAAAGTGTATTTTTCAAAAATAAGAATAATACTTGAAGGAATAATTAAGAAATATAATATCTATATATAAAACAAAACTATTAGATATATTTTATATAATGAATTAAGATCTTTAATTTATCTTCAGAACTATAGAAATCCATTATATAGGATTTTGTAATCAAACTATTTCTCTTTATAGAATTAATTATAAAAAAAGAATATAATATTATTTTAATAATAATAAATTGATTAATTAAATATATTTATATAATATTATTTTATAAAACATAATCTATCAACAATTTGATATATTTTAAGGAGTATAATTAATATATACAATATATCAAAAAGGATAATTTCAGATTGAAACAAATTATTTACTTTGAAATTTTAGATTATATTAATAGTAATATTAAATATAAAAAAAAAGTTATCGATAATTTTTCATTCACAAATAAATAAACAAATAAATCAAATAAATCAAATAACAAAAACATATTTATAATATTATATTAATTACAAACAAAACAATTAGATTGAATTATTATCTTTGATTCAATTTGTATATAATTCATCAAAAACGAAAACAACAAAAATTATACCAATTTATATTAATTTCAGATTCTATTCAATAGTATATCGAATAATATTATTGCAAAATAGAAATAAAAACAAAATTATAAAGAATATTAAACAAATCAAAAATCTTTAAAAACAATTCTTATTGAATTTAGCATTTATAATTCTACAAATAATAATATATTATAATTCGTTATATAATATAAAATCTATATTTTAAAAAATAAAATAAAATTTATCTTCTTTAAAGAAATGTATAAATAAAATGATCTAATGATAAATTAGATTACAAAAAACTAAGATTATTCAAAATTGATAAAATAATTGAATCAATCAATTATAAATTAAAGTTACTATATATTATAAATATCTATTCAATATTCTATATATATTTATTTGAATCAACATTATTAAAAGCATCTAATATACTTATAACAAAAATCGAATCAATTAATTCAAATGCTATATACAATATCGAAATAATATTAGATTATAAATATATCAAAAACAAAATCAAATATTTAATTAAATAACTAGATTTCCTATATTCAAAGAATATTTGAAAATTAAAGAAAGATCTTAATTACTTTAGAAAACTAAAAGCATTTCATTAACGATATCTAAAATTACCCAAATCGAATCATCAAAATCCCAAAAATATACCAAAAAAAAGAATTGGAAAAAGATATTATAAAAGAATCATTTTTAGAATTAAAAATATCAAACAATAAAACCTTTTCTTTCTTTTCAACAAATTTCCTTTTTAATCCTTTTTTCTTTTCAATTTCTTTCAATTAATTTATTATTTTCAAACCTCAATAAATTATTTCATTATTATAAATTTAAAAGAACTTATACTATTTATATAATCATATAAAACAAGAAACAACAATTAATATCAAAATAATTGCTTTTTCTTTCTCTTTATTCAAACACTTTTATTCTCGAATCAGATTATATATATCCGAAATGAAAAGATTTATAAAATCACATTTTGCTTTTTGTTATATATATTTGTTACAATAAAATAAATTCTTTTTCGAAATAATATAAATACAAAAATTATTTTTATAATAAATATACAAAAACACCAGGGGCCAGCGCCCCCCGGACCCCTGGCTTTTCGAGAAAGTCTAGTAAAAATTTAAATATTGAATATATATATTAGAGTGCAAGTAGAATATCAGCTTGTTTTTGATAATTGAAAATTAAATTTGTTTATTTAAAAATAATATTTATAATATTTATAATATTTATAATAATAATATTTATAATAATATTTATAATAATAATAATAATAATAATAATAATAATAATAATAATAATAATAATAATAATAATAATAATAATAATAATATTATAAATTGAATAAGTTAAATTGAATAAATAAAGTTAAATTAAATGATTTCAGAATTGAATGATTTTAATAAAGTTGAATAATTTCAATTAAGTTTAATGATTCAATAAAATTGAATGATTTTAATAAAATTGAATGATTTTAGTAAAGTTGAATGATTTCAATTAAGTTGAATTGAAAAAAGCTCTAAATCAGATTTTTTTGAGATTATAAGGTTTACCTTGCTAAGTTTTTTGTTAGATTTATTTACCGGAGTATTTACCAGGGTATTTACTATGGTATTTTAGATTAATTAGATTATCAGGATTGCGACTCATTTAAACAAGTTTCTCATTTTCCATCACCCACTAGGTAAACCTCGCGTACAGCAAGGTTATAATATCGGCAAACCGATAATAATAATATCATTTATTAAAATAGAATTATTATTATAATACCAGGGGCCTGCACTGGACCTCTGGTTTTTCGAGAAAGTCTAATGAAAATTTAAGTTTTAAAAAGGATATAATAAATTTAAATATTAAATATATATCAGGATACAAATAGAATATAGATTTGTTTTTGATAATTGAAAATTAAATTTTTTTAATTTAAAATAATAATTATAATATCATTTAATATTTATATTATTTAATATTATTATTATTATTATTATTATTATTATTATTATCATAAGTTGGATGAGATGAATTGAATGAATAAGATTGAATTGAATGATTTGAATCATTTCAATAGAGTTGAATGATTTCAATAGAGTTAAAAAAAGTTCTAAATCAGATTTGTCTGAGGTTGTAAGGTTTATGTTAAGCTTTTTGTTAGATTATTTATTGGGGTATTTTAGACCAATCAGATTGTCAGGATTGTGACTCATTTGAACGAGTTTCTCATTTTCTATTATTTATATCAGGTAAATCTTGTATACAGCCAGGTTTTGATACCGGCAAGCTGATAATAATATTAGATATATATTATTTCTATCTTTAAATGATATATATTTTAATTACTTTATATAATTCTATTACTAAATCAAACAAGAACTGGTGTTACACTTCTGCTCCCTCTTTCGAAGAAGCTAATATTCTCCCTCAAGGCCACGTACTCACTGTCTGCATAGCCCAACAATCCATGTATCTCACTACTCCTCACACCTTTGATTCTGGCAATCTCCATCGCACTATAGTTTACTAAGGCTCTACCTACCTCGATTCCCGTTCCTTCGATAATCTTTGCATCAGGCGATATAGGGCGTTCAACAACTACCAGACGCACAGCCTCCTGCTGCGCGAAGGTGCCTTCGACGTCTACAACGCCAGCAGGAAGTAGACCAGCTTTAGCCGCCAATGCGCGATGAGCACCAGCATCAATATAAATCGTTCCATGTGGAGAAAGTCCATGTAAAAGCCAGAAATAGCGGTCCCGGATTGGCTGATGTGATGGAAGGAATCTGGTATGTAGAGGTGTCTCAACGTATGATGAGGTTGCGGCAGTAATAGATAGTGTCGAATTGGACCTTGTAAGAGCTTCCGGTGTTTGACATGGTGAAATAAGACCACCAACCTTGCTGCCAGAGGAAGAAGTCTTAAGGGATTGAACATAGCGCACAATGCTAGCAATGTTTCCAGGGCTTGAGGAGCGTGTTATGACAGTCGTCACACCTGCAGAAGTGGCGAGACGGGCAGCTACTATTTTGGTAGACATTCCACCTGTACCTAAGCTAGAGCCTGCGCTTGATACTGGAGACGATAGATTATTAGCTTCTGATTATGAACAGAGGAAATAAGTAGTGACCGCGGAAATGATTACCATCGGCCTGTAATGCTGAGATATCCTCAACAACCTCAATTGCTTGTGCATCTGAATGTGTCCGAGGGTTTTTATCATAAAGACAGTCCACATCAGTCATTAGGAATAAGTAATCTGCATGCAGCATAGCAGCCGTAATTGCGGATAGGGTATCATTGTCCCCGAATTTGATTTCAGCGACAGCTAAGGTGTCGTTCTCGTTAACAATCGGGATGACCCCCATTTCAAGGAGCTCGTGTAACGTATTTTGAGCATTTCGATATTGCGTTCGCTATAGGCGTCAGTCATATAAAGTGAGTCAAGCGTGGAGACCTTACATCTGCAATATCGTTTCTCGTAAGCAAAATTTGTGCAACAGGTTGTTGTAAATGCGCGAACAAGCTGTCCCATAGACTTATGAGACGGCATTGTCCTATTGCTGCTAAAGCCTAGACCCACGAACATCAATTTAATATCAACCCGAGCAGGTACTCCGTATATGACATACTTGTACTCGAGGAAGATGTTTCGGCCTCTTGTCCAGGTCCATTCTGCGCAGCCCAACTCCAATAGCCCCAGAAGACACGATAATAACTTTGTGTCCATCCTTGTGAAGCTTCACCGCAGTTTCCACAATCAAACTTAAAATACTCAATAATGGCTCATGAGTTTTCTCATCCACAATGGAACTCGTTCCTATAACACCCCGTGACTCAGCTTTCGGCATCAAAAGAGAAGAGCTTGTTAGTACCTAGTTTTATGACGATAGTTAAAGGTTTTGAGCTTTTCATCTTGCCTGAGTTCATATTTTAATTTTAGATCCTGTTTTAGGCGACATAAAATGTTGAGCTGTATGTGGCATCAAAGAAGTCCACCGGTATGTCGATTAACCATTAACCTTAGCATTTGGCAGAAATTTACACCGCCCGCCGAAAAGTTGTTTCGCTCAAGATGTCAAATCAACAGCGAGCGCCCTGCATTGGTAGATCGCAGGGCGTAAAAATACTACAACTTCATCTTCACAATGGCATCTACAGACGAAAATAAGCCACCGATTGTCTCGGACTCCGCCAAGGATTCCGAACTGCAATTTGATCCAACTGCCCGAACACGCAATTGGTTTTCCATCCTTCTTGGTACAATGCCTCCATCCCACCAGATCCTCTATCGCGAAGACCAATACGCCCGCCACGAGAAGCGCGACTGCGACAAATGTGAAGAATGGCGAGATTATAACTTAAAATATTCGCCGATCGTCATATTCATGCAAAAGAACATACGTGATCTAAATGGAAAGCTCGATGCAGATAATATACGTTGCAGGAGGTGTCCCACACGAATCACAGAAGATGGGAAAATGGTGAGACAGGGTGGAGGATTCAGCCCTGAGCATGGAATTCAATTATGTGCGAATGAAATGAGGGATAGTAAACATGTGGAGGATACGTTAGCACATGAGATGGTTCATGCGTGGGATCATTTAAGATGGAAGGTGGACTGGGGGGATCTGCGACATGCAGCTTGTTCGGAGGTTTGTATGCGCCGTTTGGGCTGGCCTAGAATCAGTCTAGCAGTAGGAAGCTAATCAATGGCATAGATCAGAGCAGCAAGTCTGAGTGGAGAATGTAGATGGGCGAGAGAGTTCTGGACGAGGAATAACTACAGGGTAACACAACAGCATCAGCAATGCGTCCGCAGGAGAGCAGTCAAGTCAGTGTTGGCTAGACCATGGTGTAAGGACGACGTTCAAGCTGTGAAGGTAGTAAATGAGGTTTGGGATTCGTGTTATTCGGATACTCGACCCTTTGACGAGATCTACAAGTGAGGCCGTTTTATGAGATATGCCCATGTAATATATGGTAGCTTTGGGTTGTTAAATAATCGTATTCAGTACCTAAGTACTTGGGTATAGAGATGTATATCAAGATGGGCGCCGGCGTATAGGAAACATTAGATGCAAACTCCAAAACCTTATTCAACTCAATCTCCTCGAGAATTACCTCAACCAGACAATATACTCCACAAACGCCAATGCTCAAAACACGATTCGTCATTCATTCGTCACTGGAGTCCAGTGAAGACTTGCTGCCAGTGGATTTTGAATCCCGCATACTAGCCCGCTCCCCCTTCACGCAATGCTTGATGATCCAGGGGTGCTTCTGCACCTGTTCGAGAGGAATCCGTTTTTCCGGATCAAGTACCAGCAACTACGTTAGAAGTTAGTGTAATCAATGGTAACAAGAAATTGACCATACCCTTTTAATCAGATCCTTTGCTTCTGAGGACACGAAGCTTGGAATCGTCATCTCACATCTTGTTATCCTTCTCTGTGTCATGACTGGGGTGTCCTCAAAAGGAGCTTCGCCAACCAGAAACTCATACATCAGAACTCCCAAACTCCACAAATCAACCTTCTCATTGTAGTAGTTGCTATTACCTTGCAACATCTCAGGTGGAAGATAATCTAAAGTTCCACACATGGTAGCTCTTCTGCTGTTAGGCGCATGGACACTCCAACCGAAGTCTGCAATTTTAAGCTCGCCATGAATACCAACAAGTATATTTTCTGGTTTTATATCCCTATGCATGACATGCTTCTTGTGGAGGTACTTCAATGCCGCAGACATTTGCGCAATGTATTGCGCTGCTTTCCATTCTGGAAACTTTGTCTCCCTCCGAAGATGCTTGTAGAGTTCTCCCTTGCCAGCAAATTCTAGGATCAGGAAGACTCGTTTGCTGTCATGGAAGTGGCCATATAGTTGGAGGATATTTGGGTGTCGTAAATTACTTTGGATTTCAATTTCCCGCCGGACCTGCTTTTCTACCTTGCCCTTTTGTATCTCATTTTTGTGTAGGACTTTCAAGGCACAAACGAATCCAGTACTTCGTTCCCTTGCCAGATACACACGACCAAATTTTCCCTTGCCGAGAGGTCGACCAATTTCAAACATTCCAAGGTGAAATTGTTTTACCGGAGCTGGTTCCTGGTAAATGGGGTTTGATTTGCGCTCGGCTTTTGCCATTTGCTCCGATTCTCGAGAGGATGTAGCTGGCTTTCTTGAAGGAGAAGCAGATTCATGGGATGAATTGCTACCATTTGTGACAGTCGTGATTGTATTTGCTGTGTTCTTATTTTGTAAGGCGATCTTGAGAAGGTTTGCTCGATTGGCATTTTGTGATAACTGTGTATTTGAAGATGTAGTAGATGTGATCTGCTTGGTGTCAATTAGCGACGGCGCATTTTATAAATTGATTAAATCTACCTTGGCCTTATATTTCTTTCCTTCCCCCGGATCATTTTCATCATTCACAGACATCCGCTCAAAGCGCGATTCAAGAGCGTGGGAAGCCATTATAAAATATCCGAGAATCAATGGCAAAACTCGGGTCAAAACTTTGAAAAGGTCTACTTGATTGATGGTATTTGGCTGGTAGTTAGTAGAACCGTGGATGATAACAAAAGTATTTTTGATATTTCCAAAAGATAGGTAAAGGACTAAAGGAGACGAGACGAAACAACGAGACGAGACGAGACGAGACGAGACAAGACGAGAGTTTATTATTTAGAAAAGCGGAAAAGTAGCGAGCGCTAAGGTCAATCGCTGTTGACATAGCAACAAAGCTTATGTAGTTGAGCATTGGCTGGCTGACGAAGCAGTCTTCCCCACCACAGCATCAAAGCACCAAAGCACCTTAACAATAATAATTGTAAGTAGATCTTACCTTTCATCACCATCACTATACGACCATATTATAGTCAAAACTGAGAAGTACCATCACGAAACTCGAACTAGAACTCGAACAGCGACTCGAATTTAAGCTGTTATTGAACCATTTGCACTCCACATCAGCTTACAATTGAAGAACTGGAAAGAGCGCGATCCCAAACCCAAAGCTATTGTTGAACTGGACTTGGAGTAGATGAAATAATCCATACATTTTTTGCGCATCCCATCGATTCACAGCAGTCTGCGGTCATGGCATTTAATGGCCCTATCAATGAGAATTATCCGATGCCCAGTGCGGCGGACAGTGCTACTGTATCGCATGTTCAAAAGGGCTTCAAGATCAGTGCGCGCAAACTTCCAATATCGAAATCAGGCCCAATAGACGAGATGTCCGAGAAGCTTGGCATACCCGTTCCAGAGATGATTTTTGGCGATAATATGGTTGCAATCGAGCACCTAGCAAGTGGATGGCGCATGGAATTTAATGCATGCGATGCTCTGGACCGAGTTGACAAGACGGACAAGAATATGTTAAAAGTAGCTTATTCGAAGCAGTGGTCAAGCAGCAGGTAATATTTCAAATGTTTCATTGCGCACCATTCAGGACTAACATGGTTCAGGGAGAAGACCCACGAAGGTATTAAAGAAATTGTCAAGCCATTTGACTGGTCGTACACAACAGATTATAAAGGCACTATAACAAGTGGTAAACCGTTTGCACTGGATAACTCCGATCCAATACCTATTGCACTTCTCAAACGTCAAGATCCTATCCTGTTCTTCGAAGAAGTTGTCTTATACGAGAGTGAGCTAGACGACAATGGAATATCCGTGTTTTCTTGCAAATTACGGGTTATGCCCGATCGAATGCTTCTCCTGTGCAGATTGTTCATGAGGCTCGATAATGTTCTCATTAGGATTAGAGATACTAGAATATATGTCGACTTTAACACAAGTAAAGTGATCCGGGACTATACTGAGAGAGAGGATGCATTTGACAGTGTCAAAAAGGTGACTTGGCCATCATTTATCCGATGACTTTACTAACTTTCAGTAGAACCTTCTTTACTCTGGAAAGCTCCCGGATGATCTTACTATAGCCATGCGTGATCCAAATCAGATCGCACAGTTAGTACCTGAAGTTACCCATACGATCGAAAAATTGACGCTTCCTTAAGCTCTATTCCCGATACAGATTCGAATATTTCCTGAGGAATAATGAGATGTCAGTTAATGGGTACAAGAGAGATCATAGGATTGGCGCCAGGCCTACTATCCCAATCCATCATCCTCGGGATGAACTTGCCATGAACTGATATGACACTTAGAATACAATACTTGTGATTGATTCTTTGACATTTTGTCTTTGCTGCACAAGAGTAAAGCTCATGGTAAGTCCAATATTTGATCCGCGGTTACTCTAGATACAGGAAATCTGAGGCGATGAAACTCGTGGGGACGTCCATCAGAGCCATCAATTCAACAGCCTAACCTGTCTGGTATTAAATGGGTGTATATCGAAGGGTCTCCTGTTGCATAAGAAATATGATCAGAAGGGGTTTGAGAAAGGAGTGGAAAGGTTCGAACTCCATAGACATCTGAGATGGGCTGGTTAGTTGTATAGCTTGAATCTGAATGAAAACTGCTACGTACGGAGTTGCTCCATCAGACTTTATACATCTTACCGCTTTCCAACCACAACTTTAAATTTTTCATGTATTCACTAGGACTTCAATGCCACAGGAACTAAAGTCGAGAGCACCATAACCTCGCAGCATAGTAGCGTCAAATGTTGCTCCAGCTAAATCGACGGAGTGCTCTATTCTATGTCAGATAAGGGTAACGAATGCGAGAAACGTCTCCTACCATTTGTTTCTAAGGATGGGAATATATAGCGCCCTGTGCTACAGTAGACAGTGGCATAAGACACCAGTATGCTTCATTTCCAGCTAGTTTCTGGTTACCTCCAAGACGTTTTTCTCTGTAAGTCAAGATGCATATCTGTTGCTACGAAGAGCTACCCTCTTGTGGCTGGGAACGTTGCGGCACCATGAGCGCAAGGAAACCACTGGTTCCTAGATAAATATAGGCAAGAAGATACCTGGACACTGGAGGCTAGAGACGAAGGGAGGGAGCTGCGCTTCACAGTTGCCGAAGACAATTTCGGTTGTCAGGTGCCTCGACAGCTGCGGTGCACCTGTAGCTGGTGCCTAGCTAATTGATTACAGATACTGGACGACACCACCTAAATTACTCATTGCTCACGACAATGTTTCAATATTATTATTATGTCCTTCCCCGTTGTCGGACAACTTAGATGCCAAGAACGATTATAGTTGAAGAATTTGTCAAAAACCTATTCAGTCGCTGGATACAAGTTTTTAGCCTCGCAATATGCATGCTTCATGCGTCGATGCTAGTGTTACTGCGAAATTTCATTTTTTGGTGATCCAAGCTTGCTGGGACCATAAGCCTTCAACCACCACGTTGAGAATCTGGAAACTGGATTTAAGTAATTCCCGCCTTCACCGCAAATGGAGGCAGGAAATGCTATCCCTACATTAGAACGTTGGGAACATCGAAGAGCGGGGGCAAGCTGGACCAATCTGTGTGAGACTATTCATCTCCACTGCTGTTTCGAAAGCCTTTCGGATAGGACATGATTTTTTTTCGAGTCGATTCTCGGCATTTTGAAACAAACCATCATCAAGGATTGCTGTACGAAGAGGAACTGCCACGGTACCAGCGTTATATATTTATGGCTTATGATTAGGTGACACTAGAACTCCCCTTGCATATAAGGACACACTCTTTGGCAGCTGGCTCTTGTTCTTACATCCAACTCATTATATTCATCATCACATACATGTGTATCGTGAGAAGGATCTTGTGTCGCTCATATTTGCTTGAACCAAGGTCCATGATCTCCAGTACTTCCTTGTCCACGATATATATAAGGTTTCTGACTTAGAATCCTGCTATTTGTCAAAATGGTCTTTGAAAGAACTACGCCGCTTGGCATGGCTAGTTTACTTCTTGTCTGTGCTAATAACATAGAAGCCTCTCACTACGTATTGGTGGTGTTCATACTGGTGTGGATGCGCAAACTGGAGTAAGACGCACGCGGAAGATATTTGGATCTCCAAAAGGATCTTCCCTCTTGTTAGGTTGAAGTTTATACATTTAGTCTATATCATGCAAGAAGTCAAACGCCATCAGTGCAGAGCTGTGTCGTAGCTTGAATCCGGGCAAACATCCACTGAAGTTTGAATTTGCAGATACAAATTGATTGGTCATGGCCTTGATCTATGTGGTGGTCTTTTACATATCGTTCAATTGTATCTCACAGCCCCAAAAACTTCGCAACCGTGGTTGGAAAGACAATCACCAAAGACTGCTTCCTGATACTTAGCGACTAATCTTTTCCATGTCTCTTTACATCCAGGCGTTCATTGCTGTACCAAAAGCACCGGAAGATGAACAATTTTCCTGGTTTTAGATTGCACGTATTCACGGTTAGATTGGAATCCAACAGCTCCACAAATTGTCTATTGTAGCCACGACGAAGTACTGTTCCCAATCTGGCATCTTCCATATCCAGTCTTTTACGAGCAAGTTCTAGTTAGTCATGTTCAAGTAATTACCGCTAAATATAACGATGCCACTTACACTACCGGCGCCAAGAATTTCCGTATTCCATATTGGGACTGGTCCGCTGTTCCTGTCCTTTATCCGTTGTCGGTGACGCCACAATCCAAATCACTATAGCTTCTGTTACTCAAAATGTTACCAACCCTCTCCCCCTTTACGAATTTCAGCAGTCTCCCTTGAACGGAACTTCATTTCCTACGACGGGCACCAGCGCAGCGGATCGAGACTTGGCTCAAGATCCTACCACGTTGAGGGTCCCTCCGTGGAGAACACTCATGGAGCTGTACATGTTGCTATTGAAGTTACGTACGGACACATGAGTCAGTTGAGTTATTCTGCCTCTGATCAATATTTGGCTTCACCACGCAAATGTGGACCATCTTTCTGCAATGTGGCAAGCAAGCTATCCAGATGTGCAGATGCTTCTAACCTCTGATCAGATCGATACTTTTATTATCGCCATAGGTACCAGCGATATCTCAGCATCACCTTTGACCCTATTCTATCGACCTGATGGAGAGACACCTTGGACATCGGATGCTGCTCGCCCACCACTTTCGAATACTCGTATCCTTCGGTTCCAGATGCGATCATCACAAACGCGAGTGACCTTTCCGCCAATGTTACTGCAACCCCCAATGCCTTATACGACCCTCGGGAGAGTTTGGCAGCTCAAAGAAGAAGAGATGAGAAGAGAGAGTGGTCGGTGGCTATTCAGGTATTGGCTACAGCACATGGCGAGAGATTCCATGTCAGGTTGTGTACCAAAGGCGCTCCTGTAGCTTCTTTTCGTGTTTTGCCGCCCTCTGTTTCGGATGGGAAAATCCCACCAAGTTTGACGTACCACAACGAATTCACTTTAGCAGATGCTATTAAGGCCGTCGTACCACTAAAATTGAGGACGTAGCTGACTATTTGAAGACTAATCTACGGTGGACTGTTGAAAAGAGGAATGGGGCGGTGGTACCCACGGAACTGGTCTCAGGCTTGATTATCACCGTTCAAGACGAGATTTTTACCCACCCAACAGACGACACGCAACTGCCTGGTAGGTTATAGTACGTGATCTTGACCTGTTACTAACGAGCAAATTGCTAGCCTATGGAACAAAGACTCTCCACCCTGAGATAACTAGTGGAAAAACAGGCGGCACAAGCTCTTAAATAAAGAGCACCTGCAATGCTGCGTCGTACCCAATACAAAACTTGCACAGTGCCACTTCATTACTTCCCTTTATCTCCTGTTACTATCACCCTGATACCTTTGCTTCCCGCGGCCGGTGCCGCGACGAAATGATCCCTTTTGATCTCCACATCTTTCTTTGTAGTTCCATAAAGCTCGAGATCAAAGCGCTTGAGAACGTACGCGGTTGTGAGGAACAATTCTGCATATGCGAGACTAATTTAGGTAATTCATTAGTCAGGTCAGCGGAAGGAGAAATAGAATAGTCAGTTCCGTACTTGATGCCAAGACAAATTCTCGTCCCCTTGCAAAAAGGTACAAAATACTTGTCCAGTCTATGTTTTCGCAAAGTATCTCCAGTGGTTGAACCATTTGAGACCGAATCTGAGATCCATCGAGTGGGGTCAAATGTTTCAGGGGAGGGGAAGATTTCTGGAGAGTGATGGAGGAAGTAGTAGGACATGCTTGTTGGTGTCTAGGTTTTTGTTAAAATGACGAACATGGTGAATGTAGAGAAAGTGATGAGATGCACTCGGGGAGCAGGGATAGCAATTAATCATGGGACAAAAAGGCAAGAGTATATACACACACTGGCAGGAATTGTCCATTGTTGAAACTTCATATCTTCATTGGGCGCGATTCGAGGGAGACGTGAGGTTACACCTGAAAGTCGTAATGCTTCGGTTATAGCCGCTGACTAGAACAATTTGAGTTAGCGGTTCATTATGTCTCGCAATAGCGCGGATTAGCTGACCAGGAACGGTAACTTCTCCAATCGCATCCAAGTAATGTCTTCATCCAAGGTGCTAAGCTCATCCTTGATTCTTGATAGCATTTTTGGATTATCCAGAAGGTGATAAAACAATACGGCCAAAGTCTGAGCGGTTGTCTCACCTCCAGCTCCGATCAGGATATTTCCCTCATCAGCCAGTCGACTAAGTGTTTTTTCTTGAGGGGGAAGAATGTCAGTGTCGCGAAGTTCGTGGAATATTGTATTTTGACGACCTCCAGCATCTTCGTGATTTAGAATACGTGCCACCTGTCTTCTTGAATTCTAGTATAGCGGTCAGGTTCTAGTTTGTACATACGGGAACAAATCTTTAAACCAACTCTGTGATGTCCCAATACTGGCCCAGCCATACTATCTGGTAACCAAGACAAAATATTGGGTAGTATAGGGAGGTGCATAACAAGTGTCGTTATAGACATAATCTGGGAAAGAGTTTGACTCCAAATTTCAGCCAGATTTTTGTCAGTCAAAGCGCCGAAAGCCTCTCCGAAGCAATAATCTGAAATCACGTCTAAAGTAAGGGAAGAGAACACGACTCGGAGGTTGACAGGTGTCTGATTGACAAAATGCGAGTGAAGTATATTAGACAACAAGGTGATTTTCGATTTAATAAGCGGCTCCATAGCAACAATTGATCGCTTGGAAAAGAAAGGGTTGACGGCATTTCTTCGAATGCGATGGTGGTCATGTCCTATAGTCTCGAAGCTGCTTCCCGGAGAACCAGACGAGCTGACGAACCATAGATACCTGTCATTCTCAGTCAGTTTAATAGTCTATGCACAATGCAGAAATCTTTTCCAAGTAGAAGATAATGATATCAAGTGCAACTTTGCAGAGATCAACCGATCTTGCCATCCAATGGCCCGCTCTGTGCTCCCATAACGTACAAGAAAGGAGTAGAATTTCAATAGCTAAAAAGAAATAAAATGGTAAGAGAGGTAATTCATCGATCCCGGGACTGCATATTGGGGAGTGCAGTGTGTCCGATGTTACCGAATGACAATTACATATGAAAGCTTTCAGTCTTCGAGAACGTTTTGTGTACTTGAGTGTTTCATTTTGCTGTTGGAATAAATTCCCGCACTATTGGAAACCCTGGGGCAGAATAAAGTAATCTTTCTCACAAACCTACTTTTCACGTTTTCTCGCATTTCCCGCATATAGTTCATCATAATACTCCGGATCATCAATATGCAATTCATAAGGATTGATGCGCACTATTGGGCCTATGATTTTCAGTCGCAACACAACGTCAGCAAGAATGCGACTAAACATACCATACTCTTCGTGCATTCGTTTGATTTCCCAAATCCATTGTCCGTCACGTATGACATTGAAGTAGAATTCATACCACAACGTCAAGGCTGCAAGTTTTGGGCCTGGAAACCTGGCAATGGGACTAAAATAGAGACGATATGTTGCGCCGTAGATAATCCATAAGGATAAGGATAGGAAGAGTATAATTCCTAAATAAGTAATGGTAGTCATGTTGAAAGAGGAGAACGCTTTAGAATGTGGAGCCTCTTATTGGAATTCCACATTAAACTATATATTTTGAAATGAAAATCGAAAGGCTGGACTAACATATTCCATTGTTTTCAGGCAACGTTGAGGATATATAGATTTTTTTTTTTGGCAGTGGAGTAAGCGACCTTTCCGCAACCCGCCCACTTACGCAACTGCTGCTACATCGAGGTACTACAGGCTCAGTCACCCACGGCATTGATTAAATGCAGAATAATTGCTACTACCGAGAGCAAAAATGACGTGTCACTGGGGATTAATTTACAAGGCCCGCAGTTTCGCAGATAAGCAAGAAACTTCACAATATTATTGGAGGAAACAAAGGGATACAACCGAAGAAGAAAGACAATCTACATGAAAATGAGCCGCCGATGACAAATGTCTGTCATTTCCTAGTGATATGTATATTTCTGATGTCAGCGTGGCTCAACTATGTCATAATCATATAGAAAATTCAAACCAGTTATAATATTAAGTTCTTTCCAGATCTTAAAATCTTATATCTAATCCGTTAGCCCGGACTATTGAGCATTCGGAAAACGCCGGTGTCCAAATGACCCTAAACAACAGGGAAGTATTAGATGAGTAAGACCGAGCTAGAAATGATACAATAACTGTGTCGGCTAATTGATATTGATTGCTCATATAGTCATGACTGCAGCCAGTGCTTCTATTTTCTCCTCATCACACTTGTGACATGCACACTCCATGCCGAACCAAGGCATTAGTTTTCTTTGTCTGTCCTTAAGACTATCGCCTTTGCCAATATACGAAATAAACATCTCCTCCCCTTTCCTGATATTCCTTTCGGCAAACATGGTTACTGTACTATTTTCATGGTCATGTCTCCAATCAACATTAGGATCACAACTATGATTAAACATGGAGTATAGCGGATTTATGGCAGTTCCACGGATATCATCAAAGCCCTGTCCGTGTTTATTGTTTTGCAGCCGGCAATGGATAGTGTGCAGTACCCATGTGTCATACATGCTGTTCGTGAAGACATCGAGGCCAAGCTCGCCGAGGATCCGGATTGGTGTTATGATGTGATCTGTAAAGTTGAAGGCGATGAGTTGAGGATTGTTTGGATTGTAAGCGGGCGTGAGACGTGAAATGAGAGAAGACTGTAGAGGATTCGCAGTATTTTCTCTAACAGAAAGGGCGAGAACTCGGAGGAGCAATTTGGATCCAATAAACGATTCTGTGGAGGTTGACGAGGATACTGGTTTAGTTTCATACAGAAAATCGAGATCCTTACCACAAACGACGGTGTGATAACTATCCATCGCACGTTGGGAGCACAAAGAGCTGCAATAAGAAGTTCTGCAACAAGGATTTTCAACCTCATCCAAAACCGGCCCACAGCAAGCGGGGCAACGACCTGCACTGTCAACTACAGCAGCAAGCGTAGGGTCAACAAGGACTGGTTCTTGAGCCAAAATATCTTTTATTGCCACGACGCCAAGCACATCCATCTCCGACAATTCTTCAGGCGATGAAGCCAGTCTAATTGTACTCTTTGAGACTACGCAGTTGGAAGATGCAGAGGAAAATTCAGCGGCTACCTTTTCTATTGATCGATCAGACCTTGTAACAAGGTCTTCAGTCATCCATGGATATGCTGTGGGGTAGACACCTCCGTTGTAAAGAGTACTTGTCATCGCTTCTGTTGTCATTTCTCCGTCGTCAACATATCCCTGGAGGATATCTCGTCGCTGCTCAAACCAGGACTCGGCATTCGCTACTTCGGAAGGGAAAACCTTGTCATCGGGAAATCTGGCAACGGCCTCTCTACTTGCCACAAGATAGTCTGCACAGCAGTTGGAAGCCATCAGGCCTTCCATCAGTTCCGACCAGATCTGAAGCTCAAGTCTTTTCAATAGGATTGTGACTAAAGCATGAAGAGATTCTGGAGTCGCAACCTGTGCTTTCCTCGGCATCCATGCTGGGTCGGTCTGGTGCAATTGATATATCCTTTGGCTATATGCTTTGTACGCATCAGTACCTAAGGTAGAATCGTTCTTTAAGGCAGCTTCGACTAGAAGCCGGGCTTTATGAACATCGCCAAGAGCAAGTTCCGGATACCCTAATCGACGGAGGCAGTTTCCTCGGTAAAGCCAGTTTTCAGGGTCGTATGCGGTCTCAGCAACGTCCTTTGTGAATTGAGTCAATGCTTTAATTTCGGACTCCAAGGGCTAGAAATAGAGGGAAATAATCAGTGAAAAGTTCGGACTACTCTCCTGAGGACTACAGGTACACGGATTTATTTGAGGACGAACTTCTGCCTCTAGAATTTGATACGGAGAAATCTCACAAGCTGAGGATGGCTTATATAATTCTGATCTCCATGGTGAGTCCATGTTGACGATGTCGGAAGAAGAAAAGTTGGAAATGTAATCTCTTGGCAGGTCAAATCTTTGAGGATTTTGATACTCAATGCTAACTGACATATATGTATATTATAATGTATGAGAATGAATGATTCTTCAAAGTTTCCAAGCTTGCCACCAGGAAAAAATCAAAGAGGATGGAGAGTCGATGATAGATGACAGAGTGGGCAGCTTTTTTTTTCTCTTTTAACATTTTACTAAAAGACTAGGTAGTTAGCACTCACTGACGTACTGTGAGAGTGGACTCAGTCCACTAAGGTTGAGCCAATCTAGCCAAAAAGGGTTCCGAGCCGTGGCTAAAATCGGCTTGTTTCCCATGTTCTAGATGGAAAAGCAAGTAGTTGTTTGTAGACACTGATGGTCACCGTAGCTGTCAGTGGTGCAGTTAAGGGAATTTTGTGCTACGAATAAGCTGGTGTGTGTTGCGTTAGTTAATGATTGATGATTGATTCTTGATTCTTGATTCTTGATTCTTGATTCTTGATGGTATCGAATATTAATGAGAAGAGAAGATGTTCACTACTCTGCAAATAAGCACTAACCTTATATAGTATAGACTGACTTATCGCATTCCTGCTTTGGTTCAATGTTAGAAGACTTCTGGGATTGGTTAGAAGAGGTATGTGATTGAGAAAGCATGAGAAGAAGTAGTGATTTATGAATTATTGATATGCATTGGAATCATTGATAAGATGCCAAATTCGAGTTTGGCCACATATCTGAGTTTTAGGTAAGGAGTTAGTTACAATCATGTGTGAAGCTCATTGACCGAGACAATCTTTCGCAAGCACCAGTGTTTTATTGGAAATTAATTAATTTATTCATTCATTCATTTAGTTTTTGTCATAAGTACGAAACCTGACCTTTATTGCGGAGGTACTCATTTTTGTCTCTCAAAACTTCTCTCCTTGATACGCCATTGTTGTTCTGTTGACAGATTCAGAATCATCACTGACAGCTGTAACCATCCCTCCGTGCTCTGCAATTTGTGTCCCATCTTCAGCAATCACAACATCACCATATTGTGATTCCCAGCCAAGACCCATCTCCTTTATGATCTTCTGATTCCGAGTTGGCCACACCTTGCAAAGTGCAAAGTATACAACGAAACTGACAGAAAATGATAACAACCATCCGAGACGCCCAAGATTTATAGCACCGGCCGATACTGATACACCTAAAGTTCCGATAAAACCTGGGAACGGAAGCGCAACGCCGCAAATGTATGCAATAATTGCTTGCACATTCCAGCCATGGAAATAATAGTAATGTTTATTTGCCTTGGAGCCATTGTAGAGATGTCCAATGAACACGTTGCCCTTGGTGAGCGCATAATCTTTGAATAGTTAGCATCAAGTCAGAGAAATAAAATCGCCTCGCCTCCACCATCCTCAGATATGATAGCTCAGAGAAGAACTTACAATCGCAGACCATTATTGCAACGACGCTAGCCATAAATATACCATAACCCGAAAGGAAAGTGGTAAAGACTGAAGCAGAAGCGAGAATCTTCCATGGACAGATGGCGAAAGCCAAGAATTCCACCACATATTGCCCTCGGGGAATTGTGAGGAATCGAGGAAACAACATGGTACTATCCGCCCCGAACGGAATCATGTTTGCCGCGATGTTTGTGCCAAGAATGGATACCATCCAGCAAAACGCCAACAGAAACACAGCAAAACGTGTGCTGCCGGACCAGTATTTATCCAAGATGGCACCAAGCAAATCCCAAGGGTTCCACAAGTTCAAGCCCCAATTGTTGTTAACCGCAGCTGTAGCTAAAATTCCAAATGTGGCAGATAGCGTCACGGATAGAGGTTGGGTGAGAAGTTGTGACCATTGTGCACCAGATCTCGTCGCACTCCATCTTGCGATATCTGGCTGATTTGTGATCACTAGAAAATCAAGAAGTTAGCAAGTGTTGGTTGCGCAATGAGCATAGCCGTCAAAATACCCTCTGGGGAAAAGCGAAAATTGGGTGGTGTATTAATACAAGACGGGAAAGTGCAGTGAAACCAGAGACTTACAAGTTGCAGTATTACCCATACCACTATTGATACCGTGCATAATGAACCATCCATAGGCAGCCCCTTCACTAAGCGTGCTCTCGTATACCGATCCGACTCTGCCCTTTGTGTTGACCATGCAGAAAATGAAAAGTCCAAATACGGCCGGTAAAACTACAATTGACTTGAACCAAAAGAATGCTCGTAATTGATATGGTCGGAAAGCGCAGAATGGAAAGTGGACCAGCCAAAAGAGAAAGAAGGCGAGCATATTGGCGGATGTGATGCCAATCGATTCAGGAATATGATTCGGAATATCAGTAAAGTTGTGTCCGAAAATGCATCGCAAGATATTGCTCATGAAGCTCGCACCGGAGAACACTATGGTTGTCGGAGTATTAGCAAGAGATCGAAAGAGAGGAGATTGCATCCAAGACACAACGGGGCTCCAATAGTCCAATCTTTGGTAGAGGGCGTAGTGCGTTCCGTTGCGACAAGAAGCCTTGAGTTGGACCACTTACGTTGTACACCATACCAGATAATGGCCAGGGCTGCTCTAGCTCCCACGAAGTAGTATGATCCATACATTCCGAAAACACTCCTGGCTACGACAGGATACCCGATATGATAGACTGAGGCGCATCGACTGTTAAAGTACATGGCAACTGAGCTGATCAATTGGGACACAAAGATGACAATGATAGCCTGCCACCAGTTAAGACCAATACCAACCATCGTCGAGCCCAGAGTCCAATTGCCAAAGGAGAGTCCCAGGTAGAAGGTAACGAAATTCCACCAACGCCATGTCCGTTTCTCTGGAGGTGTTGGGTCACTACAGGAATAAGTTTTTAGTCGCCGAATCGTTCACCATGTGCGAATCCAGCATGAAAAACTCTGTTGGACTTACAGATCTTCGTTGGACCAAGTCTTGTTAGATCCCGCATGGCTATGCTGGTCCAGTGCAGTATCTTGCACAGTTACGAAATCCAAGAAATCTTGACGACTCTTGAAAGCATTTTTGACAGCTTCAACCTTTTTCGCAGATTGAGCTTTCAGTGCGGCGACGCTCATGGCGGGGAACATCTCGGATAATTAAATTTTTTCCAACTGCTGCTGATAGCGAAAACCTTAGATACGGGTCTCAGTAGTGGCAACAGCGCAAAGTGCAAGAGTAAAATCTTTTCACTTCCAACAAATGTCGAGAGAAGATACCTATCATACTCCGACTTATTGTGCCCTTTTTTGTGGGAGGAAGCAAAAGGGGGAGAAGAGGCGGGAAGATGGAGAAGAAAAGCTTTCCAATTTTTGATGGAGAGAGGGAAAAGATTGGGAAAAGATATAATCCACTTTCATGCTTGAGAGTCAGTCTATGTAGTAGTATGTACGGAGTATCTAGCTAGCATCTAGCTAGTATCGAGTTAGTAGCACCTAGTATCTACCCGGTCCAGTACTTACCCAGTTTCTATCTAGTCCTACTCCGTACATTTGACTTGGTTCTGGATTTTGCTGGCGAACAAGTGGATAACCTGCTTTTGTTGCTAATCGAATGGACCGTTTGTTATCAACGGCCAAACTTTTCGGATAATGCTCTCAACTCGGTTAGTAAGTCGGTTGATAATCGGTTTATCGTCTCTATCAGGTATAACACGGCAGAAAACACAGGATAAGATCTTACAATCGCTTCAATGGCAATGACTTGGCCCCAATGATCTGTCTCCAGGATTGCTTATCAGGTTGGTAGCTCGGACATGGCCGAATTTTGACACTCTGAAATCATTGGGATGACACGAACGCGTGAAGTTCTAATGCCCTTGTCTATCGCGGTATGGCTGTCTATCGCGGTATGGCTGTCTATCGCGTTGAGGCTGGAGGTTGGAGATATCAGATATCAGATATCAGATATCAGATATCGGACATCAGAATTTATCAGAACTTAAACCTTCTAATACGCAGTAAGAAGGAAGTTACAAGGCTATCATCAAAGCTACCATCGAAGCTAAGTAAAACACTTTACAAGCCGATAATCAATCGCCGGTTCAAGTGACGGAATATGTGATTTCATAATTTCATTCCCTTATAGGCTGGTTACCTATGTCATAACGTGATGGGCTGAAGGAATCTTCAAGTGTCAGTACACTTCAACATAACCTGATTTACCTTTATGATTGGTATTTTATACCTTCTACCATACCCCGCTCATTCATATATTTTACTTGTAAGGAATATCAATGATTTCTTTCTACTATTCCCTCTTCATTCCTCGAGTAAGCTTGAAGAGAGGCTCTAGCTGCTGTAAGGTTAAGTGACGCTTTAGGCTTGCGACGGCGCTGCCACTAGTGACGAACTGCTCAGAACTTCAACGGTGATCGAATTATAGTTAGTTAACTTAAAGGTCAAAGAATTGGGTAGCTCACAGCACCTTGAGTAGAAGATTATATATAAACGTCAGGGATCCCTTCTCTTTCAGGCATCTGGGAATTTTGATTTCGTTTTTTTTCTGACCTTTTCGTTCATGTCATAATCACAAATCCCGAACAATACCTGATCTTCATTATTCAAAATGCAGAACAAAAACACGAACACCACCGCTGACTCCGAGGAGTCTTCTACAAAACGACCCCAGACAGAGCATGCCGCACTTCACTCAGAAGCTCCGAGTGGAGCAAGTTCCATAGACTCTAATGTAAAAGATGCCGAAATTGCCAGTGATGATGTTGGAAATGCCACTCAAGCTGGTGTACAAAATATTGAGGCCGTATCAATGACCTGGACAACATGTTCCTTAGTAATAGCATACATTGGGTATGTTTGCCGAGACAATCAAGATTAGACTATGGGCTGTTACTAAAACAACTCTCAGTATATTTCTCATCTCCTTTACCACCTCGCTCGAATCGCAGGTGGTCATGTCACTTTCTATTTTTGCTACAAGCTCGTTCAACAACCACTCTTTAATTTCTACAGTTTTTGTGGTGCAAAGTGTTGTCATGGGTATGGAATCCTGTAGTTGTCTAAATTTCTGCATAACGGTATTGACTCAAAAATATAGCTGTCATCAAGACCCCCATGGCAAAAACTGCCGATGTATTTGGTCGACTCGAGGCCTTCTCTATTTCAATCTTCCTTGCCGTGCTCGGTGGACTTACAATGGCCATTTCCAGCAATGTTCAAACTTATGCCGCGGCTCAAATATTCTACGCAGCTGGTTCGACCGGTCTCCAAATACTCCAGCAGATTTTCATTGCTGATACGACTGATCTCCTCAATCGTGCTTTGTGGTCCAGTTTACCACAAATTCCATTCTTGATTACTGTATGGATCGGCGCGCCTATTGGAGACAAGATTTTGAAAACGACAACATGGAGATGGGGTTATGCTATTTGGTGTATAATCCTACCAGCCGTATTTTTACCATTGGCATTGTCTCTGTTTCTTAACAATAGGAAAGCGAAGAAAGCTAACCTCGCTGCTCCATCGCCCTTGAAAGGATTAGGCCCGATTAGACTTGTAAAAACACTTTGGAATGATTTGGACATCGGTGGTATGATTCTGTTGAGTGCTGCATTTGCGCTCATCTTGATTCCACTCACCATCGCATCCAAGGCCTCAAACGGATGGGCCAGTCCAGATATTATCGTGATGATAGTTCTTGGGGTGCTTTGTCTCTTCAGCTTTCTCGTATGGGAATCCATAAAACAGCTTGCGCCACATCCACTCATTCCCCTCGGTCTCCTGAAATCTCGCTCATTTTGCGCAGGATGTGGCATTGGATTCTTCTATTTCAGTAGGTTCATGCTGGTTTGTGTCTCATTCTCGTGTTAATCTCTATCAGTGGCATTTTTCCTCTCAGTCCAACCATACTTCTACTCCTATCTTCTTGTCGTTCAGGACCTCTCTATCCCCGCTGCCGGCCATATAACACAGGTGTTTTCATTCACGGCAACCATCTCATCTGTGATCATATCTTTCTTCATCAAGTACACCAAATACTATAAACCCTATATTACTGCCGGCTCGCTCATTTACCTCATGGGGATCGGCGTCATGTATCATTACCGCCAGGAAAATTCATCTATCGCCCAAATCATCGGCACCCAAATCGCCGTCGGCATTGGCGGAGGAATGCTGAACGTCCCAGCTCAACTTGCAGTCCAAACTTCTGTCCCTAGCCATCAAAACGTCGCTGTCGCGACAGCCGTCTACTTAACCTGTGTAGAAATGGGTGGTGCGGTTGGAAGTGCCATCGCTGGTGTCATTTGGGGTCATGATATCCCCAAGAAATTGGCCGAATATTCAACTACCATCAATAGTAGCGCCGTGTATAACAGTATCAACAACGCACTCGCGTATCCTATGGGAAGTACTGAAAGAATCGCAATCAACAGAGCGTATCAGGAAACTATGCATAAATTGCTCGTCGTGGCACTCTGTGTGAGTGCACCGATTGTGTTCTTGTCTTTGGTGATTAAGAATGTCAAGGTAGATGCTGGAGAGGACAAGGTCAAGGGAAGAGTTATTGGCGGTACTGTGGAGGAGAAACAAGAAACTCGGAATAATTAAAATTTAGGTAAATATGGAGCTAGGTCGCATAGATTCGGAACAATACGTGGGTATAATAATTAAATTATGAGTAAATAATGAAAGTAGTCTTAATTCGAACTTGCCCACGAAAACAGAATTTGAAAATCGTAGCCTTTGAGCGGAAGACATATGTTTTGTGGTTGAGCAATGGTGGCGGGGGCGTAGACTGCAGAAAATTTATAATGCTTGCTGCGTCTTCAACGTCTTCACAAGTTGATGTTCTTCCGTTGAATATGTTTCGGCGATTTCAGGATAGAAAAATACCCAGTAGTTAACTAAAAGTAGCACAGATATAAGGATCCTACTTTTTCATCCATATTTCCTCCAAGAATGACCAACGACCAAATCATCAAAAACCCCGCATTTTCAAGCCGAATCTTCCACTCAAAATGCCAGCCAAGACGCCAAATGCCGTGCCACCAAGATGACCGGCATGACCGACTTGCGGCTGCCACCCATTCTGAAGCGCCAGAATACTATAAATAGTCTCTCCACCCAAGAATAGCCATCCTGGGATTCCTATCGGGATGAACATGACTTGCCACCTTAAGCTCGGAAATTTCACCGCTGTCATAGCAAATAGTCCAAACAAGCTACCAGACGCACCGCAGCCACGATTTATACGTTCTAATAAGCCGTTGCCGCGATGAAACCGAAGGCCATGTTTCCATGTGTATAAAGAAGCAAATGAACATGTGACGCCGGCACCAGCCCAGACCGCCACAAAGGTGAGAGGGTTTACGAGAGGGGCCAGGAATAGGAGGCCAAGCATATTCATGAAAAGATGGGGATAGGTTATGTGCATGAAGCTGTTGGTGAGTAGAGTATGGATCCGTCCTTCGTCTATATTTTGCTGAGAAAGGATAAAGTTTTTTTCGAGATAGCTCGGCGTAAGTTTGGGAACCAGATTGGGAAGAGGAAACTCGACGAACGGGGAACGATTATAGCTAAGGGTTATGTATGTACATCCTACAGCGATGAGGACTGCAAGCGGGTAGCTGGAGCGTTCGCGTGACCTCGGGAGCGGAATTGGATCAATGTATTGATCGTCATCTTGAGTGTGCTGCTTTTGTTGACGTTGATGTTTGTTTCTGGCGTGTTGCTCCCTCTGTATCCGCTGGTTTGGCTCACCTGGTCGGGAATCACGAAGTTTGGAACGGCGTGCTAGCGGGGTAGATGAGAAGAAAAGACGGGAGCCACTTGATGGAATAGCCCTCAACAGACGTGATTTAGCAACCAGCGGATTTGGATTAATGGGATTGAGATATGATGAATGAAATATTCGGGTGTTCATGCAGCCCCATGAAGTTTGACTGGACTGAAGGCGGTTGCAAATTTAGCTTGATAAGAAGGCACGGTGGAAAGGGCCCAACGTACGAAAGTTTTTGCAATTTGCCGTAACGGTCCTTTCCGCATATGGAGGCCCAATAACCGTGATTTACCGAGAAAGACCATGATGGGAGCTATTGCCCGGGCTTCTCAAATTGTGTATTAGGATAGTACTGTTATAATAAAAGGGCCAATGTTCCAATGTTCATGCCGGCAAAGCGACATGATTGGTAGACATGTTGGGCTGGTAAATCACGTGGTAAAGTACTTGCTTACTAAGCTCTCCCAGCACTTGACGTACACGACAAGTTCATTGCCGGTCTACATACAACCAAAAGATTTTACAATTTATCCTCCTCGATGGACAGTCGTTTGCCCAGAAAGTACAAACTGCGAAACCCTACATAGGGACAACAAGGTAGCAAACTACGGAAGGGATAGTCTAGATTGGCAATCCAAGTATTCCATGCTAGATGCTAGATGCTGGGGATATCACGCAGAATTCTCGTGTCTTACAACACAGGCATTTCAGCTAAAGTCTGACTGTGCTTATATGTGGCAAAGCGATAAGTTTATGACTTGCATGTATGGGCCTTCGGATATAGGCCGGGTTTGCGCGACCTCTAAGGAAAAGCTAGCTTGGCATTTAAAATTCGCCTCATATGGTGTGGAGGAGGGGGACATTGTCAAGGAAGTCCGTCACTTAGAGTTTCAGTCTTTCCAGGACTGTTGTCTAATCCCAGTCGTCGATAGTCAAGAATGGAATGAGAATAACAGATACCATTGCCGCGCGACGATCATTGCTGTTATTCATTGCGAAAAATTGTTTTTTGAGTGCCGAGCTTTCGCTAATGGATTCAGGGACTATTGAGGGGAAATATTGTGCCTCAAATGGTATCATTCGTTATCACTTATCAGATTTCAGATGACTGCGTCTGCATGAATTCACATGCTCAAGTCTAGCCACCATATAATGTCTTGGCTTGCCTTACCAAGAGTGTTGAAGCCGGTGTATATCCGTCCAGATGCTCTTGTCTCGAGCCTGCATCGACTGACAGATTTGAAGCCATCGGTACTTTGCATGGCGCCGGGCAAGAGAGAGAAGGTATAAAGTATTACTTGTGCCCAATAGCACTTCTATGGACTTCTGCAAGCATTCAAGCTGTTCTGCTCTTCAGGATGAACTTCCTCCTCCTTGGATTTCTCTCAACCGTTTCCGTCCTTCAACCATATTTCAATGCTGTTCAAGCAGATTCTTATCCATCGTATCCTCTCGATGCAGTAGATAAATTAGCGACAGAAGGTCTTGCGAAGCTTGCGGCATATCAAGCCATGCATGATCCGAATAACACTTGCACGGTTGAAACGGTATAAAACGCCGTGAATGGTAAGGTTTGAGTGACTCCCGAGTATCCAAAGCTCTAAACTTTTGCAGGAGTGACCTTTCAGGAGCGCATCGAACCGCGTATATAAATGCCGTACTTGCCTGCAGTCCAAAGAATCTATCACGCCTCCTGAGCTTGTTCCAGGTGCTCGAAGTCGCTATGATGATTTTGTTGCCACGCATATGAATCTGACTTATATCATCCATAGAACAGTAGGTACAAGCTAGAGCTGAAGTCGTTGTGATATCATCTAATGACATAGGGAAATTTCTTGGCCTGGCATAGGTATTATATCTATACATATGAAAAAGCACCTCGTGAAGAATGCGGCTACGAAGGATATCAGCGCGTGAGTCTTCAAGTCATTTATTTCCATAATTCATTCGCACACTCTGCTACAGATCGCAAGTCTCGAGTTCTCACGTGTTCTATTTTTCGGCTTCCTCACTACCACACCACTAACCAACCTCAGTATTGGAACTGGGGAAGATATGCTGACGATCCAATACACTCCCCGCTGTTCGATGGAAGTCCAACTAGCATGATTGGCAATGGCTTATACTACAACCATACTGGTGTTCCTATTGCCGGTGCACCGCCGCCATTCAACATGATTCCACCTGGCGTTGGTGGAGGATGTGTAACTACAGGACCATTCAAAAAGTACAATTCTCGCTTCATTCTCCTGTCTAGAGCACCATCAACTTGCTAAATTACGTTGTAGTATGACTGTTCATCTTGGTCCACTTTCTGCGACAATCTCAGGCACACCGGTGAACCCACAAGCCGACGGGTTCGGCTACAATCCACGATGTCTACGCCGCGACGTGAACGTTCATAGCGCTGCTTTTACGAAAACCAACTATACCCACGACCTCGTAACGAATCCTTCAAATGCAGATATATATTGGCTTCAGGCTGTCATGCAAGGCTTGTTCAGTATAGGGCAGTGGGGTGTTCATACAGGTGGTCATTTTATTATAGGGGGCGACCCAGGCGGGGTAAGTGAATCTCTCTGTGAGAACAAGGCCCTCTCCACAGAATCAAAAGTGTTAATCAATGTGCGTAGGACTTTTTCGCCTCTTCGGGTGACCCAGCTTTCTTTCTTCACCACGGCATGATAAACAGGGTTTGGTGGATATGGCAAATCCAGGATTTGTTAAAGAGACAGAGTGCTATTTCAGGAACAATTACTTTGAATAATGTTCCTCCTAGCAGAAACACTACGCTGGAAGATCTACAAGATATTGCATATAATGCAGGTCCTGTGCCGTTGAAAGATTTGATGAGTACACTGGGCGGGTTGAATGGAGAGATGTACTACATCTATGCATAATTCGAGATGAGGATTAGGCACTTCTCCAATATCGAAGAGCTTAATAGTTTACTCTGAAGTTTGATAATAAGATGTTTTCAATTTGTGAACTTATTTAAAGCTTGAAGTCGATTTAGATATTGAGATGAGTTTAAGAACTATAATGGATTTGAACTTGAAATAAACCTGAATATTAAGAATGAATTTTGAGTGACCAAATCATTCCAAATCATTCCAAAATATCAGTAATCTTCCAAACAATGAAAGCCCGGATCTGACTGATATCAAGTTTAAGTTTTGACAGATTTCTCTTCAACGGCGAAGGTAGCAGAGGCAGATTCGTTTGGCCGAGTACTTGATCACTCTGTACAACGCAGTGTTTGTGAGTGAGACATTCAGGGGCACATGCACTATTGTTGCAGGGGCTTCCGAGGGATAATCTTATCACATGGCACCTTTAGGTCCCTAAACGCTTATCAGTCCCTTAGTTTCACAGCTTTACGTAGCTCACCTGGACTCTTATCTGAGCTGCCAGAGGGCTCAAAGGAATCGCCAACATAGTACATGCATACTCTCTTATTTCTTGATCCAGATATATAAAATACTCACTTCGTACGTTGTTTTGCGTTCTTATCCTCTTCAACTTATTATACATTATTACCAGATAGATCCGCGCATCAGTCTTTCTCTCCATCAACATCAACATAGAGTCAAGGCATCATGTCAACCAGCGCAACCTCATCCGCCTCATCCATTCGCAAATTCGTCTCCTTCGCGGGTGGCCTCCTATCGCAGATACCAATAATCAACAATCCATCATCCTCCTCGTCGACTGGCACGACTCCTAGACCCTATATACCCTTCGGTAATGCACCAGCGTGTCCGGCAAACTCTCCTCTCTCCTGCCATAACAGCACTACCGCACCGGATTCCTGCTGCTTCATTTATCCCGGTGGTCAGCTTCTCCAGACGCAGTTCTGGGACTACAGTCCTGCAATAGGCCCTGTCGATAGTTGGACTCTCCATGGCCTTTGGTTTGTTCATCTGCCATCAGTAGTCGTATGATCTAAAGCTTACCAGATATCGCAGGCCGGATCTTTGCGATGGCTCTTATCCGACTTATTGTCATGAAACACCGCGATACTACAACATAACCTCTATCCTAACCGCCGCGTCCCAAACCAATCTACTCGCATACATGAATGAATATTGGCTTCCTAACCGTGGATCCGCCGAAACATTTTGGCAACATGAGATGAACAAACACGGAACATGTGTAAATACTCTTGCGCCATCGTGCTATGGCGACAAATACGAAGCCGGCGATGAAGTTGTCGATTTCTTCGCGAGAGCTGTGGGATTATTTAAAGAACTGGATACCTATAAAGCGCTTGAGAAAGCAGGGATTGTGCCAAGTTATACGGCTACTTATACCGAGAGCCAGATTCAGGCTGCATTGACTGCGGTTACTGGAAGTGAGGTTGTGTTGGGTTGTTCGTATGGGAGATTGAACCAAGCCTGGTATAGTTTTAATGTCAAAGGGAGTTTACAATTGGGAGAGTTTGTGGCTACCGCTCCAGCTGGGAAAGGCGGGAGAGGTACTTGTCCTAGAAGAGGGATTAAATATTTACCCAAGAAGGGTTATTGAGCCTGTTTATGTATCTGATGCGTTTAGTGTCCCATCAGAGTAAGACGCGCATCAGACTCGATTTGATCGGGGTTTTGTACTTGTTTTTGCTTCTCGGAAGGAGCATGGTATTGCATTTGCATAGGATAAAGGTTGGTATGCCGCTTGGATCTTTAGATGTACAATAAAGAGTTGTCATACAGAAATCATTGCATTGAAACCTTCCTTTGGTATCTACATGTTTACCACAGGACATACGTAATCATGCAAAACTCAGCAGATGACAACATAAGACTCGTCATACATGCATAAGCTATACAAGTGTTTAACTCATCACTCATTCTTGACAATGCTTTAGTGCATGAAAGGGGCGGACTTGGTAATATTCTCCTCTTGTTCTGGCCATTCTAGAGCTTTAGATGTATCGTCATTTTGCCATTTCGAACTTTACTTTACATCGTTGAGGATGGATCGGAGTAACACAAAGCTGTGTCATTTCCTGCAGAGTACATACATGGGCCGCTCCAATGCTAGTCTTTACTCCCATCGAAATGCAAGAAGATTAGAAATCACATCCAAATGCACTTATTTAATTGAGGTTATCACCATCTTGGGAGCTATCTTATCCTGCGAATTCCTAGTGGATGGAGAAGATGATTAGTCTGCTATCACATTCCCATCTACTTGGTTCCTATGTTCATTGCTTCGAGGACTTTTATATAATGCAATATATTTTCCACATACATACGAGGGAGTAAAGCTCGAATACAAGGGAATGTAAAATAATACCAATCACTATCGCTTTACTTCCATATGGAATTGTATGGTGTCTTTAGTTCAGCCCAGTTGCTAAACTGTCCGGGTGAAATTTAGCTGCTATTTCTACGTTATTCAAAATTCATCGTCAAATTGTATTGGGACGACAATGTACTTTCAAAGTTATGAAATCGAATGACGAATATGGTTAATGCTTGTCCTTATTTGTCTCATACACATTCTTGACCATCTTCAAGTAGGACCAATAATCCGTGTCAATGTCTGAGAGCTGTATATCAATGATCCATGATGACAGCATATCGCCGCTGGGACAAAACGCGATAAACATCCTTGCTACGCCAAATGATTTGGTCAATCGGAATCAATGGTCAGTACTGCTTCTCATAATCATTGCTGTCTTCGCCGAGGAGTCATGAGCCAATAATGTCCAAAGCCGGTATCTTCCGTCCGGAGAGCATGATACAGAAACATGTAGATTCACTTGTCCTCCGTCTTCGTCTATATGATAATACTAAGAAGTCGCTGAATCTTTCATGGGCCTTTTTCGTGCTGTGCTACGTTATATTTGAATATGCTTTGAGAAACCATACAGTTATATTGAGACTTCCGAGGATTTCCATACTGATTTTCATGATGCACTTCGGGACATTGGCGAAATATCGAATCTTATGAAGGAATTGAAATTGGATGGTTGTTATTGCTTGATCTTTAATGATTTAAGGCTCAGGTAAGTACCATAATTGATGGAAACCCCCGCTCATGAACGCTCCTCTCATCTAACAATCTTTCACGAAATGCTCTCCAGCATTCTTCCCCAAAACGAGAAATCCGTGGCTCGTTTCCGGAGAGAAGGGCAAATAGTCATTTGAGGGGGCACATAGACGACAGCTTGGAAGTTATTCATTATTACTGTTCTCGCTAACCCTGATATTTTATCAATGCTTCTGGCAGAAATTGGGGGAGGGCGGATTGAAGGAAGCGGAAAGTTACGTTATTTGACAGCTCAGCCGTGATCCCATCTACTGATCAGGTCTTGAAATCTAATGGGTGGGAAATTCCCGCTGGTGTATGTTTTGTTCTCAACTTGTACTTTCTTGATTCTCCTTCCACTTTTCCGGCCGATCGATCCATCGATCAACTATCCTTCTACTCCCACAGATCCCGGTATTCATATCGTCCCTCGTCCAACATGTCGGTCCGCGCAACTTCTTCTCCCTGCCACATTCTTAATAATCCGCTTCCTCGAGAAACTATCCCCAGCCGGACACATCATAAGTTTCAGTAAAAGTTCTCGTGAATGTTTGAGAGTCAATTTAGCATAGACGGAGTTTTATTTGTGTGTTGGAGGAGTTAAGGGATTAAATTTGATGTTAAATTATACAAATCTTGGTGACTTGGAGTATAAGCTTGGTTACTTTGTATGAACGATTGGTGACAGAAAAGCGAGGGTCTTACGTCGTTGGCTAGGAGGATGAAGTGTAGCTAATGAGATGTGCAGGATAAGAATGTGGTTGGAGGTCTATGTATTCATGAAATTTTACACCAGAATGATTGTATCCGCGACCCAATTATCATAATTCATCAACATTTCCGAATATTACAAATTCTACCAATGATAATGTAGTCAAGACCAAAATATGATGTAGCTCTATGCTCATAGTAATATACCGTCTATTTACTCATACTTCTTTCTCGCCTGCAGCTTTCTCAAATTGTATATTCCACCTTGAGTGACTCTTAATGAGAGGCGGTGTCTACTAAAAATATATCTGAGTGGACGGATTGGTCTACATGGGCTTATTTTTTGTGGTCCCCATGATATGTATAGAAACAGATTTATACCAAAGTCGATGAAACGGGACCAAGGAGGGCCTCATCCGTATACAAATTGAGTAATGAAGCCGTACAACCAACATAACCATATGGAATCTATTTTTAAATCTAATTCATATTTCACTACTTTCGAATAATAGTCCCAGCGTATATTTATAGACTCATTTCCCAAAGGAAACCATAAATCGGGGAGTTATACTGAATCAACTAAAGGGTCTCAATAGTTCGGAGTCCAATCCGATAATGAGAAATCTCAAATTATGCCAAATCGTCTAAAACGTTCAAACATAGATCTTTCCTGGTTTAGTCTGTTTGTCCTCTTCGATATAAGGTAAGAAGGTCCGTTGCATAACAAGTGAATTATCAGGGCGAACAAATGAAATTTGTGTTTAAAGATGGAATCAAGCAGAAAGACTCTACGAGAAGAAGGAGAAGCTCCAAAGGGCAGGGAGCATAATGCTTCGAACTCGGAGTATACTTCCATTTCCTATGCACTCTATAATACTTTCAGAAGAAAAGAAAGCTGTATCAACCACTATTAATGGTATGTCGACGACATGGATCCTATTTATTCATATAAAAGCTGGTGGGAAGATGGCAGGAGGTCTGCACTTTTGGATCGAAATACAAGATCGACGTAATCTTACTCTAAACTACCCAGATCCGATGTCGATATGAACGGAAAGAAAAGAATGGAGTGATGGTTGTCTACATCATCTTCAAACGGACAAAAAGGAGAAGACAATGAACGAAATATACGAAGCAAAATGAAAAGGCTCCGTGTAACACTAATAACATGCCTACCCCCATATCCTTCAACCATCTATCGAACATCCTTAGTTTCACTAACCCTCCATGCCCCCAATGCCTGAACCCTTCATCCTACTTCAAACGTTTAAACTTCAAAAACAAAAAGATGCAAGAACCGCAAAAGAATATTCCGAATCCGGGAATCGAACCCGGGGCTACTCGGTTCAGTAATCATATGCTAGAAGCAGAAGATGAATGAAAGCGAGTTATGTTAACCCCTACACTAATTCGGAGTGCTTGTTGGTGGAGGGACGAAAGTTATTAAAAGATTTATTTGTAAAGAAAAAATAAGAAAGGTATAAAATAGGTGGAGAGCCTGCAATGAAAAAAATGGAGAGCATGAAGGGAAGAGATTTAAAGGTGGGTACGGGCTAAAAGGATTCAAGGGGGGCGAATTGTGAAGCGAGGTGGAGTATTATGTTGTTTTGTCAACGGGAATATTTTTTGATGCTCTTTCTGCTGCAGTACATTGAATAACATTTGATTTTCCGACCACATTTGCAAAGCTTTTTTTGTAATAAGGAATACACTATTGATCTCCCCCACTCGAACATTTCCAGTTCACTCACATGAAATCTCCTCAAGGAAGCAATCTCAAGCTATACACGGAGTACAAACCAAGAAGACTGGCAAGAGACAGAATATTAAATACGCTCCCGCTTATTCTCGCCAAGCAGTACAGTGGACCGTGAGAAATTCGCCCGGGTGGAATGGGTGGAGAAGTGAGAGAGAAACCCCACAGAAGTCTTATAAAATAAAACTTCGGAAAGTAAAAGTTGATATGTGTGTAACACAGGAATGTTAAGCTTACAACAACAAATATTTTGACTGACTCCTACAGAAAGTCCGTTCCCATTCCGGTACGTACGATCTCATCCCTTTCTTCTTCATAACAACTTACAAGAACCCTCAAAACTAGAACACAACTATTCGTCAATCATTTCACACACAAAGTATGATATCATCCATTCTCCAAATACCACTCAACCTTCCCCAGCCACCAGCCACCATCAACCACAAACTACTCCAACTTCCAAAAATCAACCACACATTATTTCTTTCTAATTCAAAGCTCACCGAACCTCAAAAAGGCAAAAGTGCGTTCGCCGGGAATCGAACCCGGGGCCCATCGAGGTTGTTCAACTCTCTTCTGATGAAGAGAGATTGATGGCAACGATGGATTTTACCACTAAACCACAAACGCTCGTAGCTAGATATATTACTAGTTATTGTTAGAGAACCTTGGAGACTTTTGCTAAATATCATAACCATATTACATTGTTTCAAGAGGTTGGAGTTTTCATGGAAATGTGGGTTGAAAATATGTACGGAGAATTAGATTGGATCGGGGGTGGAGAGAAAAATTTTCAAAAAAGCGGGGTGGTGGGGGGCAACCTTTGGAACTTAACTTATCTTATCGGACTCAATCATGATTCATGAGCAATGGTGAGTAGGTGTGGATAGCTAAAGATGAATATTGAAGATATTTCTATCGAAGTACAGAGTATGCAATGATGAATGACTACTCTTCAAGTATCAAGCTCCATCTAAATCCCATCTCATCTCCTTCATGACTCGCCTAATACAACACAAACACAATGCTGAGTCCGGGTAAGCAAAACTGCAGTAATCTTAGCTACCTACTGGGTAATTAGTTGATTATCAGATTCAACATTTCACAATTCAGAATTCAAAGACTGTTAATCATTAAACTACGAGTACAGTACAGTTCAGACAATTAAAACCCCAAGCTTTCTAGAACCACATCCACATTACTCTTCCACAAGATATATACACCCCACCAGTGTGTATGATATTCTATATTAAGAAGTGTTCTCTATCAATATTATAACCCAGGGGCTGTAACTCAGTGGTAGAGTGCCTCGTTTGCATGCTCAAGTATCCCAGCACAGGATCTCTTGATAATCTTCGATGAAGTCCAGGGTTCGACTCCCTGCCGCTCCATCATTATTTTGCATTTATATCCATCTTTTTTTTTTCTTTGAAAATTAGTTGGTGAAAAATGAAGTTTTGGGTGATGGGTGGGTGATGGTGTTGTTTTGGTTTTTGCGTCTGTGGATAGGTAGAGGTGATGTTTTCATAGCTAGGGAGGAATATATTCCTGCCATTTAGTTAGTTACGTTTTATTTTTGCTCATTTCATTCAATTTACTTCATTTATTTTATATCTTTGGAGTTCAGTTTAGATATATATTAATCATACTGATGGAAAACTGAAAATCCCCAATATACATACATAGAACCCCCACATCACAATCCTTTAAAACTCACTCCCCTACGTAGTCGAAGGCCCCTCTCCAACCTACACCCTCACCACATTTCACTCTTTTTTTAAACTATATTGGAAGTATTCATTTTTGTACTCCTTATGGGCGGGTCCATCTCGTGTTGAAGGGGGAAGGAAGAAAGGTGATTTATGAAGTGAAAGTGCATGATTCTCGAGGAAATTTATAACTTTGAGTACATATCACTGTGGGCAGCTTTGGTTGATTTAGTTTAGATAGTAACATTAAACCCGGATAATGAAGGAACCTACATACTATGTTAGAGAGTTATCGAAGCCACATTTCTTCTTTAGAAGAGGCCGTTGAAAAAAAGGAGCCTTCTTAATTCCTCCTCCCTCCCCAGGGTATCCAATAGTCGGAGCTAGCAGACCACAATGGGAACTTGAATGCTTGAAAAGCTAGAATGTCCTAAGTGATTATGTTAGTGCATTCAAAGTTTCAACGAGTTCCAGTTTCCCGATTGCAATTTTTGGAATTCACCTCAAAGCTTATTAACAGACTCAGAAATCAAAGGCCTTCCTTCCCATCATTGGACTGCCTTTTCTCCTTTCTTTTCCTGAATTTGACAAAATCTATGCCATCATCCCCCCATCCAAAAACATATCCCCTAACCTATCCGTCCATCCATATTGAAGCCATCCTCTCATAGATATCCTGGCCCTGTAATTAGATTCAAAGAGTTGGGTTTGAGGCCGCGAAACAGAAGTAGTCCCAAGAGACTTTCTACTTCTCAAAACACCGTTCCATGAGAAACAGTGATACATTGCTTTCACCTGTTAACAAATGGCATGTGAGATTAACCCCGAGGGCCTCATGACGGACGACATAAAGGAAATCCTTCCAAAAATCAACTAGCACGCTACCTACACCACAAAAAAATTGCAATCAAAAGAAAAATATAAGTCATGACCAGACTGGGGCACGATCCCAGGACCTTGTCCGTATTTAACAGGTGTTAATTGTTAAGGACACGTGATAACCAACTACACCATCCGGCCTGCTTTATGTTGAACTGTTGGCTGATTGAATATATATTGGATATGTAAAAGTGGAGTAAAGGTGGTGGGGATCGAAGGTGGAGGGCGCGGTGCCATAGAAGCGGAAATGGGTATCATTGAAACATTGACTAGTGGTGCTGGACAAGAGATAAATAGCAAAATATTTATGAATTTATTAGGCCCAAGGTATCTTGTAAATGCCCAACCACATTTGAAATGTTTGAATCTGTCCTTGATGCCCTAGTAATGTGTATCAAGATATCAGGCTCAACTATTGCTCACATACATAAGCAGCTGCGGGATTTGACAGCATCGGAGTGGGAACAAAAGCTTCAGCCATCATCGCGGTATCAGGTGTTGATCCCTGGCCTCCTTTCTCGTGGCCTTCCCACCTCTCGAACTTCTTCCCCCCAAACCGAAAAGATAAATAAAAACCAAAAGAGGGAAGAAACATACAACAGTAGGGATTCGCTGGTGGTCACCCACCCAACTACTAATCTACCGATCTGAGGCTTGTGTATGGCAGAGCGGACGGGATGCCCAATTCTCCTCAGTCTATGGTCGTATGTGGTAGAAGGCCAGAAATCTAAAGATATATTGCATTACAATTGATGTGACCTGCCAATCCATATGGATATGTCTCAACCTCGTCAATGCCACGCCGTCTATCCTTTACACTACGATCCTCCTTTCAGCGGTAAGATTGAAAAGGAAATTAAATTTAGTCACTGGAGATGCTGGATTATGAGCTGCTTGGATTCTAAACATGCCCTTGAGTGGCCACTCGGTTGATAGACGAAGCAACTTTAAGTACTAGGTAGGTATAGCTAGAGGAAATTCATCAGCCTTCATTTTTTACTAAGCTTCAAAAGGGAATCAATTGAGCTCATAATTTTGAGTCATTTTTCAATATTGGAAGCAGAAAGGTCCATTTCCTATCATTGAAAGGTATGGAATTTAGGGAGTATCCAAATCAAAGACATTCCCCGTCAATCGTGGCCTAGAAGGCATCAAGGTACCACCGACGCCTAAGCTGAACTTCCAACTTTCCAAGAAACGAGTTATTGTCCCACAAACGTGTAAGCTCAACGTGCATGAAGTTACATCCATTGGCAAAGAGTCAATTGGTATGTTGAACATCAAACGGGATTATTGCCATGCTCGCTTGAGTATTGGCTGCAGCTATACGTAAATATACGATCGGGTACAACATCTTAGATGTTCATCTGACGATGACAATATGACTGATGTAGGATTCGATAGGGAAAGTGGAAGATACAATGAAGAGGCTGATATAGAATCGGGTAGGAAGGGTCATCGCCCATAAGTTTCCGAATATAGACAGGTCGATGGAGCATTGAAAGTATTGATTTTTTGTTTCCTGATGAATGGCTTGTGAAGAATGGTAAAGCTGGTAAAGCCGAGGTATCCGTCAAAAAGGAGAGAATTGCAATCGGCCAAAGTCCCATAGAGTTCGGACGAGAATGTCAAATAATGAATGTGTAATGTCGCTCTTTCAAGATAATTGATGAAATCATGAGAAATATCTCCCGGACTCCATTTGATCGTTGACCTCGGCGCAAAAGTATCATCCTACGTCTCGTGGCTCTTGAATTACGGCAAAACAATGACTATTTGACATCCTAAGCCAGTCCTTTCGCCACGTAGACAAGATGAATTGACGGATGGCTCCATAATATGTATGTAGTTTTGATGAGAAAGGAGGGCAGAGTAGGCCGTGAAGAAATTTTGGTCGGTAAGATGTTACTTTGTACAGAGTAGAAATGAAGTCCTTTGCACTTGATGCATGGACTATTTATATTTAGTAGGTATGTATTTTGAAGGTTAATTCGTTAAATATATCCTGATGTTGGAATCTGATCCTCTCATTCTCTCTCAAGGCAAAGAGAACATGCAGAGGGCAACATCAAAGGTAGAAGACATTCGAGCTCAGCAAGCTACGGCTGTGGCAGGTAAGTAAGTGGTCCTCCCATACAAAAACTACCTAGTAGTCGTACCCACCTTCAAAATGAGCGTGAAAGTTTAAACTTTCCACTTCGGCCATGATACTCCCGACAAGTCGGTCACATAACTCGTTATGTGTGAATGGACTCATCCGTCGAGAATTCAGATAAAAGTTAGGCCAGTAACCCTAAAGGTAGATGTCAAGGTAAAAGAGACATTAAAGGCAACTTCTCCTACGTCTCCTACGTCTCCCACGGCATCTCTGGAAAAAGTCCCTCATCAATTGACATACCACATTTTGATACCCGAGGAATTTATATACGAGTACTTACTTACTACTTAGACCCATTAATGCTGGTTCTTGTCTATGAATATCTTCTATCTTCCTGGTCTAGAACAATTGACGCGCAATAATTGTCTAGACCAAGAGGAATTACCCAAATATCTGTTGGATCCTTCACCAATTGATGAATTCCAACTACCAAAATATAGAAATAGGTGAGCACATTTCCAGCTTCCAAGTTACTGATTGTATGGTACTCGGTACAGATAAATGAAAGATATCAGAAAGTTATCTTGTAATCAGGACTTCCGCAGATAGTAAGTAATATGAGACTGGTGATTAGTTGTTATCATCTAGGAAAGGTAAATTAGATCCTAGATGGATGGATTTTTATACATCATGATTCAAGTACCCGTAGATACTCCCTCTGTACAATCAATTGACTGATAGAATCCGTTGTGTGTATATATATATATATATATATATATATATTTATACATTGATATAGGATATAAAAGTTCCCAAATATCAATTCTGTCCTATTTTAAAAATACTTACTTGTGAGTACAATCAATTGATAATTCCATTCCATTCCATTATTTTTCGAATCCTCAATCGCAATGCTCCGTATAAGAAAAGATTACATATTCCGTCCTGTTCCTAATTTGAAAATGTTTTGAGCTAGCTAGTAAGTAGTACCTTTTATCTTTCCACCGAATTCGATCCGCCATTTTTATTATTAAAGGAATTCTTCCATCTTTTCCCACTGCAAGTAACATTTGACCAAATAACGTCAAACGCCAAAACGTTCAAACGTCAACATCAACATCAGCATCAGCATCAACGTCAACGTCAATGTCAATCTGAGAGTCGAGGAAAAAGGAATCAACAAAAGATAATGAAGTAATAACTCTTAAGCAATCCTACCTCTGCTCAACCAATTACCTCAATCGAATCACCAACGCAGCAAAATTCATCGGAATCCATATCTCATCAAACTCAAACATACATACATCAATCAATTAATCGATCATTCAATCATTCAATCATTCAATCATTCAATCGATCAATTCCAAGATATTCTCATCTTAGAGAGATCTTCTCGAGTATTATCCTCTTATATCTTATTCCTCATAAGAAAGAATGTCTCGAGATCTTTCTTAGAATTGAAACATATTTCATCATTTTATTTCTTTCTCACCGATCCTATTCGTCCATCACCAAATTTATCCTTTCCTCAACCGAAAATTTCCAACCAACCGCCCGTCGCATATTCGTTTTTCTCTCTTTTTCTGGACGTTTGAATAGAAAATTCCTTCCGGCAGATTTGCAGATCATGGATGAAGCAACCAGGCTCGTAGGGGAGCTTTCTAAAAAGCTTACCGAGCTGGATCATAAGGTAGATTTATATCGAAAAGATATGAATAAGGAATTTATTAAGTATGAAGAGGATTTATTGAAGAATGTTTCTCCAAATCTTTCCAAGGAAGTTTCAACAATAATTGCCGAAAGATTAAAGAATTATAAGGCTCTTTATCCTTTCGTCTCTCCTTCTTCTACTAATAATAATCCTTCCGATAACTTTGACTCATGCGCTATTGGCACAGGCACAGGTCCAGGTCTAGGCACAACAAACACAGGTACAGCCGCCAACAACAACAGTCACAGTTCCTGCAATACAACCACGGCTACCGCCACGACCACGACCACGAACACCATCACGAGCTCCCGTGCAGATGTAAATCTGATGACAAACGGACTTCCCAAGGCAATGAACTCACCATCAAGTACCGGTACCTCGGCGCAAACAATTCCTAATCATACGAGAAAAGAGGAAGAAGAAAGTGACCGCCCAAGAAGTCCACATGCGCGAGAGAAGGAATTTACAGGAGTCTTTACACCAAGTTATCTGCCATTGTTAGAATCCAACAGTCGATACGATCCAAGATCCGATCCGAATATTGAAGTAGATAATCAGTCAAAAGATACACAAATGGATACATCGTCGCAGTCGCATGTTGATGCAAGTACAGATACTAGATCTTTGAATCCCTCTCCAGATCTAACACGTCCTTCAACACCCAAAAGAAAGAATACCGATGAAATATCAATCACCTCCAACAGTAGTAGCGATGGACCTCGTCGCAGGAGCGCTCTACGAAGAACATCCAGCAATTCTAAGAATACGAGTCCTCGAAGAGTTCGTTTCGATGTAGAGGGAGAAGAGGTGTTGCCAACTTCATCGCCGAAGGAATTGGAGCCCATCCTTCCGCCCTCCTTTTCGGATGACTCAGATGATGAGGCGGGTTCGGAGATGGTCGAAGACATTGATGCGCCACCACCGAAGAGAATATCTTCTTCGCAAGCGTTACGAGCTTTATCCAGAGGGCCCCCGGAGGATGATGGAACACAATGGACCACCGTAGTTGCCCCGCCAGACGGGTCAGCTTCAGTTGATACTTTGGAAAATGACGATTCTACAAACAATTACTTCGATTCTGGACCAAGTCCCCCAGCTTCTCGCGACGAAAATACCCCGCCAATTTCCACACCGATCCCAATACAAATCACCATGCCCGAAGTCGAACCGCAAGCTCAAGTAAAACATGTAGAGGCTCTACCAGAGGATACAGATGCCCTATCGGAGGATGATATGTTAGATATGCCACCTCTACGGCAAATGAGAAGTCAAAATCAACAACCTGCGCGCATTCTATCGCCGAGAAAGAATGAAAATCCAGAACCGGCAATTTCTGCCTTGAAGATCAAATCGCCAAACAAACCACTTACACTCGAGACTTTGGAGCCCAGAGGAGAGAGTGATGAGAAGTTGGACAACTTAACCTTCCAAGACGACGAACAAGAAGATCTGTTTTCCTTTGACGAAAACCCAGATCGCGGAAGCCGGCCCCAAGATGAAGAAGATGATTCGGATGTAGAAGCACCTACCTCGCCTAGTGTTGAAGAGAGTCTTGACAATCTTGAGCTTTCTAAATCTCCTGCTCGTCCGATTCCACATAGCTTCATTAATAACAAAGCAACAATAGCTCCAGCCCCTGCACATGGAGTTGTTGGTTCCTACAAAGGTCGTCCATTCAGTATGCCTGTTGTCAACGATGAGGTACATGCCAATGCCGCATCAATGGGAGCAATGAATTCATTCGTTGGTAGTGTCAACGGTCGCAGTGGACTTGACGCAAGTGATATCTTAAGCTTTAGAACAAGTGGAGGAGTGGGTAGTTTTTCCGGCACCCCAAAGAGCATGAGTGAAAGGATGATGATGGATGATTTGATAGAGGCTGAAGGAGAAAATCAGAAAAGCTGAAATCGGAAGACCCAGCATTGAAGGATTTCACGAAGCCGAATCAGGAACTCAGAAGCAAGCATACTGGAACTCATGGATGGCATACAGCCTAAGGGAAATTGGTTCATGGAGTGTATTTATGTGTGTAATCTTTACATTTGCATTTTTGGCGTTTTACAGGTCATCGATTTCGACGTCATCAGAATATGAAGAATGAGGAATCTGATGATTAGGTATGGCATGAGAAAGTGGGCGCATCGTTTTTTTCTTTGGAGCTCTCAGCCCGGTTCGGCTTCACGAATCCGTGAGATCCGTAAGTGGAATCAAGGCATATTTCACGCATGAAGTTATTGGAGTGGAGATGTCGAGAGGGGTTGGAGATGTCAGGGTCAGTGGAGTGGATCAAATGATTAAAATCAAATTCGCACTGGATGATGAATGGATTGTATATGATCGCATTGGTTATGTACTAGATAGGTAAGCAGGTTGGTGGGTATTTACTTAATCACCGACATACCAGCTACACACCTAGGCACCCTTACACACATAACAATACATACTCATCTTTTCCCAATGAAATATTTCTCTCAATTCATTATTGTTGAAAGATGATTTCAATGAAGTCTAAAATCTATTGATAGGAGGATTGGGAGCTTGGAGCTTGAGGTAGGTGTTTTTGTCTTGGTTCCTGTATATGTAAGACTTATATGGGGGTTAAGGTTAATGAAATGAGATGATAAAAATATCCTTGTATCTGCATTTAGCCGTGTACCTATCTACCTTACCCTCTTTGCTCCTTGCTTGCTTCTAGAACAAACTTTTAATCATTATGGGAAATGAATTAGTAGGATATATTGGATATCAAATATTGAGTATTGTATTGAATGTTTAGCACTGAATATTGAGTATTGAATTTGGGGTATTGAAATTTCGGGTGTTATTTATGATGGATAGAGGGAAGATCTTATAGATAGAAGGGAGTGCAGGAGATGGACGGATGCCCTGGTGTTGATGAGGTGATGGGGGTGTAGGTAGATGGAGGGAGGGAGGGAGGGAGGGGTTATGAGAAGTATGGGAGAGGCGGTTTGGTGGTGTGAGGAGTAGGGGGTGAGAAGGAGGTGATGGAATGAAATGGCTGATGGCTGTTACGTTTGGGGGGCTTTTCGGGGATTGAATTGGGCGAATAAGAGTAGTGAAGGTATCGGGTAGTAATCTAGAATTTGAAATGAAGACTATATAGTTTACGAGTCTGAAGAGCTAGCTAAATATAGACATGATCGGAAAAGGAATATACGTAGAATGGAATAGGAAAGAATGAAGAATACTTCACGATTGGCTGGATTTCCACTGCAGGCCAAGAGCTATGTATAGCATCGCAGGGAAGAGGAGGTTGCAGCTATTCTTGTAAAGGGTATCCCTGCAGCGGATGCTCGGTATTTGGGATATCCGGGAGTCTGGCTCGGTTCGGACCTTATATCTCGGGAGGATCGTGGGCCAAGTGACTTGATGTGTATGGGTGAGTTGGCCGATTGAATCAAAGGGGGGTTAATAATGCTAGGCGAAACCTAGTTCCATGAGTTGGTTTTAAAGTTTAGCTTAAATTTAGTACAGTCGGTGAGTCTTGGGATGTAGGGGGGAACAACAGTATTCTAATTAGGTGAATAATATTGTATTGTATGGTTCCATCTTATATATAACCTCTCCCTTCGGGAGAGGTTGATGTACCAAGGTGGTGCAACATCACGTGACCATGTTCCGACAATGTGTAAAAATTCTTGTTTATTATTTTATACAATATTTAAAAATATTATAATCATTATTAAATTTTATATAATTTTTTTAAAATAATTGATCAATTGATTTAAATTAATAATTAAAATAAAGATATTTTATTAAAATATTTATTTATTTAATATTAATTCAATGAATAATAACTTAATTATTTAATATTTTATATATTAATATTGTGTTTTGATATAGATTTTAATTTTAAAAACAATCTTTTATTTAATGTATTTTGTATTGTTTGAAGATATAATTCAAATGATTATTTTATATATTTTGATTCTGATTTATTTGTTATAATATCTGAAAATATCTTGAAGATTTTGATTTTTAGATATCATCAAATATATTTAATATAATTTAAATTCAAAGAGTACAAAGGTTATTTTTTTTATTTAAATGATATTATAGATATCAAATTAATTTTTAATTTTATAAATTTAATAAATAAAATTATTATCTTATATAAATTAATATTGAGAATTTAATTATCTGAAAACAAAAATCAATTTGATTTTCGAAATCTTTAAATACAAATTAATCAAATATTTATCTATCAGGGGCCTGCGCCCCCCGGACCCCTGGCTTTTCGAGACAGTCTAATGAAAATTTAAGGTTTAAAAAGTTTATAATAAATTAAATATTAAATATATATCAGAATACAGACAGAATATCGGCTTGTTTTTAATAATGGAAAATTAAAATATTTTATTTAAAAATAATAATTATAATACAATTTAATACTATTATTTATAATGATAATAATATTTTATATTATTTATATTATTTATTATTATTATTATTATTATTATATTATTTATTATTATTATTATTATTATTATTATTATTATTATTATTATTATTATTATTATTATTATTATTATTATTATTATTATTATTATTATTATTATTATTATTATTATTATTATTATTATTATTATTATTATTATTATTATTATTATTATTATTATTATTATTATTATTTATTATTATTATTATTATTATTATTATTATTATTATTATTATTATTATTATTATTATTATTATTATAAGTTGAATGAGATAAATTGAATGAATAAAGTTGAATTGAATAAATAAAGTTGAATTGAATGATTTTAATAAAGTCAAGTTAAATGATTTCAATTGAGTTAAATTGAAAAAAGTTCTAAGTCAGATTTGTCTAAGGTTGTAAGGCCCACGCCAAGCCCCCCGCCAGACCATTTACCGGGGTATTTTAGACCAATTATATTGTCAGGATCGCGACTCACTTCTCGATCAATTATATCGCAATCTTAAGTGAACCTCATTTTCCATCACCTACCAGATAAACCTCGTATACAACAAAGTTATAATATCGACAAGCCGACAATAAATATAAATTTAATATATTAAATATCAATAAAAATATAATTTTATATAATTATTATAATTATTATAATTTTTATATTTGAAGAATTGAATAAGAAATTTATATCTTTATATTTTTTTGATTTAATTTTAAAAAATAATATAATTCAAATAAATTATATCAAAGTATTATTATACAAATATCTATATTTATATATATTTTCAATATTTAATATTATAATACTCAAAGTATTTTATAAAATGATTATCCTACTCCAAAAACCTTTAACAAGATAACTTTTCGATTGGGTTTATCCCGAATTACCCTGGGTATATCCCACCCTTTGCCCAGCCCTGATGGAAATGTCAAACTCCGCTTGACGCGGCTTTCAGGGGTTACACGGAGATAGATATATCCTTCCTCCAATACTAATAAGTCCGCACAAGTGCGGCGGAACTATAGCATACTCCACTTTAAGCACGTATCACAACAACAATGGTACCGAATAACTCGTTTTTGTATCAGCTCATTGCCTAGGTAGGTGAATGCTACGGCGCATCAACGGCACATCAATGATGCATCATGGATATTCAACAGTTCCGATATGCTTACGATATCGGATAAACCTATGCCCGCTTAATATCAACTTATCACAAGAATTCACGACACATTGTCGGTCAAATGCCCGTATTACACAAAGTCACTTTCATATATCCTTCTTGTCAAGAAAAATGAACAAATGAGGGGGACAAGCGAAACATCTGCTGCAGCCAGTCTGTGACCTATAACACCCCAGATGCTGGATGACTCATATCGAAGTCATGGCATTGACTAACATGCGTATGTTCTGCAAGAATGACCGGCGGTTTAGAAATGCTCCGAGATCAAAAAGATCGAGACGTTTTTATCCCCACTATAGTATTAGCCATACCCATTCAATCAAATTACTGATTCTAGAATGACGTGCCCCGTGTTGAAAAATGGGATTGTTTGGTTTGAGGATGTAGATCAGGAGCCTGGAGGGAAGAAGGTTGGGGGAGAATGTAGAGTTGAAATGAGTGATTGTGATTTCATTTAGGAACAATAGATGCATTGAAAAAAAACCCCGAAAAAAAAACATAGGAATAAACAAAAAATAACCATTGATCTCTTGAAAGTCTACAATTTAGAAAAACAAAAAGTATATTTTTTGAAAATTTTATTCTTCATTATTTTTATTCTTGAGAGATTATAAGATTTAAATTTAAATTTTATAAACTTTGAAAACTTTAATTAATATTTATATACTTTCTCTTTTCAAAAATTATAGATTTTTCAATTTCTTCTATAAAAAAAAATAATAATAATAATTTATATATTAATTTAAGACACTAGAAATATTAATATTTATTTTAAATTAAATATTTTACTTCTTTACTAATCAGTAGAATACTTAATAAGTTTAATATATATTAAAATATAAAATTTATAAAAGAATTAGAATCTGAATTATATACTACTTCTAAATATTTTAAAGTGTTTTTGAAAAGTTCAGTTCAATACTTTTACTTTTTCGCTTCCTTTTCCATTTAGTTGGTGCATTTGTTTTGCATTCCCGTCTAGGTCGAGAACAGGGTTTGCAGCCAGGAGATTTGTGTAACGTTTATTTCGTCAGGTTGACCGTTTGATAGAAGATTCGATTCAACAGCTATGTGATACCTTGTGTCTTGCCGATCAACATGAGTCCTGAGTCCTGACCGGTCCTCTGATGCAAGGAAAGTGGGAGGGAAACGAAAGACCTTGTACGGATGTTAAAAAAAAGTGCGTACCAATTGCAAACATTTGATTGTCTCCTTTGTCTTTATTTTCCTTGGGTATTTCTAGCAAGCGGAGTCTTGATAAGCTTTTTTTCTTGTATACCCTTGTTTTTTTATCTTGATGTTATTCATTTTCATGCCTTTGAATGTATATGTGTTGTTGGAGACAAGGATGTAAATATCCGCAAACATCCACACCGGCCGTTGGAGACGTATATATATATATGCATACTCTCGCCTCAGTTGGCTCAAGTAACTCCTCTACTTCCATACCATACAAAGCTCAGAATTGATCTATACAATATCCTTCAAAATGTCGTCACCATTCCTCGACGAAGATAAAGAGACGACCATGTCACCAGTTCTCCTAGGTGCTTCAGCATTTCTCGCCCTAGCCTACGTTGTTCGAGCTTTACTTGCTCGACCTCAAAGGTTGGATTTGCCAGTAGTGGGCAAGCCCGATGATGCTAACTTTGAAGCGGCATTGCTTGAAGGAACTGCAAAAGTAAGAATTTCCCACGCCATGATGTCCTTCCTTTAATCCTAGCATACAACTCACAAGGAACAGTACCCCAATACTCCCTACATCATCCCAAGTATTCCTAAATTGGTCGTACTCCCCATCTCCACTCATGACGAGTTACGCAATCTCCCCGAAAACAAAGCCTCTTTCGTGCAAGATATATCCCACATATTTTTTGGAAAACAGACAGGACTCGGTGAAAACACCCCCCCTTTAATCAAAGCTATCAAGACCGATTTGAACCGTCACGTGGCATCTACTGTCGAAGCTCTTCAAGACGAAACGCGCTATGCATTGGATGAATTCGGTAGTTGCGAAAATTGGACCAAAGTTACTGTGGCGGAGAGAATGGCCAGACTAGTCGCGTTACTGAGTGGTAGAGTTTTTGTGGGAAAACCGTTGAGCAGAAACGAGGAATGGATTAAGACTACTCTTGAATATACCGTGGACGCTGTGAAGGCGAGGGACGAAGTGCTCCGATATCCGGAATTGATTCAAAATCTTGCGGCACCCTTCTTACCACAGATTAGGACGGTGAAACAAAATAAGGCTAAGGCGGCACAGTTGTTGAGACCGATTATTGAGGAGTGTATGCGAAAATTCAAGGAAGGGAAGATGGGTGATAAGGAGTCCACTGACGAATTCGATGATAATCAGGGGACTTTCATCAGCTGGCTTTTGAAATGGACAGATGAGAAGAATAGAGAGGACCCTTTTATGTTGGCGGACAGTCAGATGACTTGTAAGGCTTCATTTCCTTTCCTCTTTTTATGCTTTTCTGTTTCGAAGCCGACTTTTATTACTTTCTCGGGCTATGACTGACCAAGAAAAGTGTCTTTTGCTGCTATTCACACAACGTCCATGGCAATTTCGCACGTGCTATTTGATCTTGCTTCTCACCCGGAATTCATTGAGCCTCTTCGCGAAGAAATCGAGCAAGTGATTGCAGAAGATGGGACCGAAGTTGATGGCAGCGGATTGAGAAACTTAAAGCAGCAGTCATTCACCAAATTAAAGAAGTTGGATAGTTTCTTGAAGGAAAGTCAGAGGCTTAACCCTCCAACTTTGGGTAAGTTTATAGCATCTATACTACTTTCCGACACATTTCAGGAAAGAGTGCACATGGAAGTAGGAAACACTAGGAATTCCTTTACTAACAAATCCTAGTTGCAAACTTCCGCCTAACTACTTCCACCCTCCACCTCTCTACTGGTCATGTCATTCCCAAGGGAACCCGCATATGCTACGACGCCCTCACATTTAACATGTCCAACCCCGACCTCTCTACCATTCCCCACGACCCTTCCGATGTTACCTCACTTGACCCACCTACCACCTTCTCCCCCTTCCGCTGGTCCTCACTGCGCGCCACGCCTGGAAACGAATCTAAATTTCAATTTGTAACGACAAGTAAACAAAGCATGAATTTCGGACACGGGGTATGTTTACCGGCTTCTCTGAATATCTTGTTCTACACATCCAAATCCTATCCTTAATTTTAAACCAACTTTAATGTTTCCTTACGCACACTCCTTTGTTTTTCTAACACAGTTTTGATTCTCCATTTTCTTTAATCCCATTAAAAATCATTCATCAATAGCAGTCACTGACTCCTATCCTACAGAATCATGCATGTCCCGGTCGGTTCTTCGCAGGTTTCGAGATTAAAATTGTGATCGTCGAGTTGTTAATGAATTGGGATTTCAGACTGGTGGGCGATGAGGAGGGAAAGGGGGGATCCGGAAAGAGACCTAAAAACTTTTTGTACGATGTTAGCGTCGTTCCAGACCCAACTGGCCAGCTTGAGTTCAGGAGGAGGAAGTTCTAGGAATCTACGGTCTGTGGAATAGCGAACTGAGCTGCGGAGAGGAGGTACGGATGAAAAGAATGGTTTATAAGGGTGCATTTATAGATGGGAAATGGAGTTCAGGATCTTAGATTATTGAGTGAATGGGGTTTTGAGGTTCTTTCGACTGCTTTTTTCTTTTGTTTTATATAGACTTTCTTACTCATTTTGTATATAGCGAATTCCACTCTTTTGAGAAACCATCAAAATATAATAACTTCTACTCGGTGAAATTGTTAAAGGTGTAGTAGTAGTAAACTCATAATCGATTTGATCTAATTATAGTTAGGGCTATGTGGATTATTGTCGGCTTGCCGACACCAAAATCTTGCTGTATGCGAGGTTTACCCGATGTAGATGATGTGACGTACAAGAGCCTCATAAGAGCTGAATAAACAGGGTCAATTATATTCCTTAGAATCTATAATTGAAGAACTATGGCTTATAGGGAGAATCCTTATATATATACAAAATACCTATACAGTAGCTGTATAATTGTATGCAATCTATTTTAAGGTGATTATAATGCTATATTAAAAGGGGTAAATTTGGAAAAGCGTATATAGATTATTAGCTTATCGATAGGAATTATCAATCAATTGGAATTATATGATCGTTCTTTATACAAGGTCCGTGATATTACTCCCCTTTTCAGAAAAGCTCGTTCTCGAGCTTTTTTATTCCTTTATTCCATCGATTATCATCGGAAACCAGGTGTAACGATCTAGTTGGGGCAGCGGCTGCCTCAGGGTTTCGTCTGGTTGGTAGTTGTAGGTTAAGGCTAATAATCACTGGTTATCTACTCGAAGGTGAATACGTTACTAGATCAATTGGAATGTAGATAAACTAATTGATAATTAAGTTGAGCATGAAGCTTCTAAACTATGAAACTATTCTGACTATATACTAATCTCTTTTCTTGTGCTAGCTATGCTAGCTGGGCTAGTACAGCTAGCATTCCTGTGATGCTAGTTCTACTAGCTGGGCTAGTAGAGCTAGTACATTACATGATTGATCCTGAGGCTTCTCATATCCCAAGGCCTTTCCTTTCCTGAAACACTTATCCCAGAAGCTTCCCTTTTAGGAACTATAGCTCTAGGATATAATATCCTCTAGGGTGATAATCCCATTACAATCAATTAGATAGGACATTTGTCCTATTCTATTATAGTTGCCTAGAATACTTATCCTAGGAATCCCGGGGTCCTAGGCTTAGGTAATCAGGACCCCCGAAAGCAACGGTTAAATCACACCCCCCCTGTAGTCGGCCTATAAATCACCGACGTCAATAATACTACTATAAAGAAAATCGTGAATCGTGACACCAGGGTTCAATAGATTTACAAGCCCTAAATCGATTAGATTAATTATTCTTGGTTGATTTGGTTAATTGTATTGGCAAATGATTATCGAATTGACCAAATTGACCAGATTGACTAGGTCAACCAGATCAACCAAATCGATTAAATTGACTTTTTTCGACTTTTTCAATCTATTGAAAGGAGACTTTAAAAGGTTTACTAGCCCTAAATCGATCGAATTAGTTGATTTTGAATGGTTTGATCGATTATATTGGTAAGTGTTTTAATTGACCAAATTGATTAAAGAATTGATCAAATCGACCAAATCGATTTTTGAGGACCTTTCAGGAGGAGATAGTTTCAGCAATGAGAGATTAAGATTAAGCCCTTTCTTTCGTATTAATCTGAAATAATAATAGATATGATTTTTTGAATATACTATCTTTATTATTATATAAATACAACTTATTTATCTTTAAAGTTTAAGTCTTTATCTATATATAATCAAATTCTTTTAAATTTATATAAGTTTTAAATACTTTTATAATTATATATATATATATCTTTACAAATTATAACAATTAATTTGTTAAATTAAAGAATAACTTTCTCTTTTTCGATTTCATATAAATATCGTCATCCATATAATCATAATCATTCTCTCCGTTCTTGTAAAGCTTTATTCAATCAAATAATCGATTAAAGAGACCAGACTGCATTGGTGTTACGAGGGATGCGATCTAGATCACGTGGAAGTGGCCTGGATCCTCGAATGGTTTATAACTAGGCGTCAAGCAGGAGCTTTAAAGTAATATCAATGGTTGCAATTCGTAACTAATAGTAGATTATACTAAATGATTGATCTTGAGCACGAAGCTCCTATATACAGGAAACCCCTCTGGTTTATATAGATCTTCGTATCCTGTAGATTCGTAGGGACCTACGATTCGTATCCTTGTATATGTAGGGTCCATCACGTGATCTCTAGGATCAGACTATATGTCCGAGCTTGCTGAGGGTGGGGAGACCATATGAAGCGCTTACTGTTACAAGGTAACAGTCAACCTGTCCACATGAGCTTAGGCCTCATCAAAAGCAAGGCGATTTGTATACAAATTTGTATGGTAATCGCCTCATATGGTCTCCCCGCCCTCAGCAAGCTCGGACATATAGTCTGATCCTAGAGATCACGTGATGGACCCTATATATACAAGGATACGAATTGTAGGTTTATACAAATCGAAGGTCTATACGAATTGTAGATTCATACAAATCGAAGGTCTATACAAATCGTAGGTCTATACGAATCGTAGATCTATACGAATCTATAGAATACAAAGATTTATATAAACCAAAAGGGTTTCATATATATAAGAGTTTTGTATTCAAAATCAATCATTTAATATAACCTATTATTAGTTACGAATTGTAATCATTGATATTATTTTAAAGTTTTTACTTGACACCTAATTATAAACCTTTCGAAGATCCAAACTACTTCTATATAATCTAGATTGTATCCCTTATAATACTTTGAGCATCATTATTGCCTCAAATATTAATTCGATGAAATAATATTATATCTTCTTAGACCCCTTAATCTAATAATCCAATTTCAATTACCTCAAAAGATATAAATCAAAATGAAGATATCATTATAAAAGGAACAAAGGATCTTAAAAAGATCATTATCATCGAAACCCTCAAAATCGCTTTATCCGATAAGTTCATAAGCTATCGATAAGAATTGGAAACCTTTCTACTTCAATTTAAGATCTATTTTGAATTCAATAAGGATAAGTTTCATTACAATATCGATAAAAGCATTTAGGCGATCTTCTATTTTAAAGGAGAAGCCTTCAAATAGATTCAATTTTATCTTAAAGATTACTTTATTCATCTGAATAATCTCAAGAAACAAATATATTCAATACAAATCATCTTTGAGATATTTATAAGATTCAAAAAGGAAATATAACGAATATTCGGAAATATTAACGAATTATACAATATTGAATCCAAGATCTATAACCTTAAGCAAATAAAATCAGTAATGAAATACATTATAGAATTCAGATAATATATAGATATTATAGAATAAAAAGAGAATATTATAATAAATCATTATCGAAAAGAGCTTAAAGCAAAGATCAAGCTAGAATTGAATTGCAATTGTATTTGGGAAGATTTGAACGAATTAATCAAGGAATTAATCAAGGCAAATAAAATGCTTTACAAATATCAAAAGAAGCATCGATTCTCCAATTCCTATAGGAATCGAGATTGTAATAAATACTATAAGAACGAAGAAAGATCTCGAAATCATCGATAATTATATAAGGATCTAATACAATTGAATACAATCTTTAGAAACAAATTATCTAAAAAGGAAATAAATCGAAGATAAAAAAATAAGTTATACTTTGGATACAACAAATCAAGTTATCAATCTAAGGATTATCGAAATAAGAAACTACAAGGTTAAGAAGGTTATTATAAGAAAATCAGATTTGGAAAATACTAATTCAATGTTATCTTTGTATTGCTATTATTTGTTTTCAATATAATCGAAAACGATAATTACAAATAAGAATAACATTAAAAGGAAATCGATATAATATTTCGAGATCAGGAAGGCCTGAACGAAATAGATCGATATAAATTGAAACATCTCCGAACTCTATTATTTCTTTTGATCAAAGAAAATTTAAAAGAAATATTATCGATAGAATATATAATGATAAACTGGATAGTTTGTTATAATGATTCTTATAGGATTTATTTGTTAGATAAAAAAGTTATAGAATGATTTTCTTATAGAAGAAGGAAAAGAAATACTTTGTTATATAATTAACAAAATGATCAATTATATAAAATCGATCAAATCGATCAAATTGATCAAATTAATCAAATCGATCAAATTGACCAAATTGATCAAAACAAGATTATAGATTAGGGACAATTAAATATTATAGATTAAATAGAACAGGTTTATTATAATATCAAGATAAATAGATAAAAAATTCAAACTATAATCGATTTAAGAGTTACAAGAAATTTTATTGTATTAGGAATTATGAAGTATTTGAGGATATAGTTCTAAACGAAATAGATTCTATATCAATTGTAATTAATTGATAGATAGCTAATAGGATTAAATAATAAGATTTTGTAGAAGACTTGTTCAATACAAATGAGTATAATCCAATATAAAAAGATTATCCAGTTCGATATTGTTCTGTTAAGGAATCAATAAATCATTTTGGGAATATTATAATTAAAGATATATAATCCCAAAATCGATTAGATTATTGAAGCTATAAGCTTCCCAAACAAAAGCGATCATTATAATATATTAGAGTTTGCAAGGCTGAATATATATAATAAGGAATTGAAGACAAATAATATTATCAATATAAAACACCTAATTCAGGGTCTTTCATTAACAATGAAGGAAGGTGAACCTTTTGTATAAATAAAGAATAAATAGAAGGAATTGTTTAATATTATCTTTATACAGAAACAGAAAAAAATATCAATACTGATACAATATTAAAGATACAAAAAGTTATTCAAAAAAAGAAAAAACTATAAGGTTTTATTAGAATACAAATTATAGGATTATAAGATAATATTAGAAGAAAGCAAAACGTTCCTTATTTAGATCAATCTATTAGATATCGGAATTGGAATTAAAGACACTTAGGGAATATATCGATGATATACTAAAAAAGAATTAGATCAAAGAATCAACCTTATAAATAACTAGCCCTATATTATATATACCCAAGAAAGATAATATTAAAAGATTGTATATAAATTATTGCAAATTCAATAATATAATAATCAAGAATCGATATCTATTTCCATTAATTATAGAATTAAAGGATCGATTGGGAAAAGCAAGGATTTTCTTCA